TCCGCTGCTCCAGTTTCGTCTGCTGCTCCAACCTCCTCCGCTGCTCCAGCCTCCTCCGCTGCTCCAACTTCCTCTTCTGCTCCAGCTTCGTCTGCTGCTCCAACTTCCTCCGCTACTCCAACCCCTTCTGCGTCGTCCTCTAACGGCATTTTTACCGTTACCGAGACTTCTACTTTCACCACTTGGATTAACTCGTGTTAAAGAAGATCTGCGAGTTTATATATGCGTAGGAACACTTCTATTCTGAGTTACGAAATATAAACTTATTGAAATTGAATGTAGGCTTTCTTTTTTGTCTAACTGTAAGCTGTACAAGAAAGATTTGTCACTCTCTGTCCTAGCTACATCAGGCTACCATCTTGAGTTACTGGTGATTGATATCTCTAGTGCTTTTTGACCAAGTGTCTGAGCAAACCATGTTTGTGCGACTCGTGCATGTCAGTACCGGTAATAAACTGTGTGCTTTGTATTAAAAAGTATTTCCCCCGTAAATTAGAGGCAGCAGGAGAAGCTGATACCGACTCGAGGGACTTCACAATGTTTCGTAGCCAAATTTGTCCTTTCTGGGTTCGGAGAGTAAAGGATCTAGACTGGACTGCAGATTTAAATCTGAAGCAGTATCAACGCTAAAAATTACACTGGATTGGAGACTCCAAGGCAGGCCCTGGTTTCCTTGAGGATGACCGATAGCTTAAACACACCCCTTACACGAACAAACAGGCGAGTCGTTTCTGGGAGCTGGAAGAAAGGATAGCAAACGCTACCAGCGTCATTTAGTATTTAACAGACCTCCAATCTCTGAGAATAGCTGAGCCATGATAGATTTACTTTTATGCTTTCATCAAGGCGAGTAAACAATACTGGTCACGCAGAACTTGTATCAACCTGGTACCAGCAATCCTGTTACCAGCAATCCTGTTACCAGCAATCCTGTTACCACGCTGTACCTGTTAATACACCGGCTAAAACTTTACTAGCCTTTACTCATCGAAGCTTGCCAAATTAATTCTAACCAATGGCCAGGAATATTTGAGATGAAGCCACGCTATCCTGCCAAAACATCAAATAGGCCCCACGTGGCATTCAACATTTGGATAAGCCCTAGTGGAACCCTGGAAACCCGTCAAATACCGTGTTTAATTGTCCTGCTTCAATACCACTCGAACTCCAAGATCCTATTTGGAGCGTCATCAATATATTATAAACTGTATGGACAGATTCTTCCATTAATGTTTTATAATATATAGTGACTGAGAAATACCTGACGAATATGAAAGCTAACTGCAGGTTTATTTTAAACAAAGCACTGTAAGCTGGCTCCCTGGCGCATCAAAACTACATCGTTTATATGGAGTGATAGTCGACAGGACTATGTGCACTAGCACCAGCTATAATGCATATCCCAAAGGATTAGGAACTAGTTGAGTATCATTGAGATGGAAACCACGGCTACGCAAATTTCTAGCACTGTCCATAGGAAACTCGCAGCATCATTTTCTACAGGGACGGTTATATTAGCGCCCTACCGAATCAGATAGAGTATACCTGGAAATAACGCGCCGCTTCTACATCCAATCCACATTAAACATTTATTAGCTCAACCCGCCAGCCCTAGAGACCAGTGTTGCCCTTCAACAACCCCAACAAGGAAGTGGCGTGGCCGTTGCTGGCATTGTTTCTCAAATCAAACTGCTGGTGCTGAGGCTGTGGCGATGCAAAAGCAGAGTCCGGCAACGGGACGTGGGATGGGGAGAGTGATGCCTCCAAAGCGTCGAGCGAAATCGGAACCGGGCGGCCTTGCAGCGGTGGCTGAGCACCCTGGGAGGATTGTTTTAACAAGGATAACAACGGGTTACTGTACTCGCTTTGCGAGGACTGTGGGGCGCTGCCGCTGGACTTGAAGGTCATGATTGCTGGGTCTTCAGGCGCTTTGGCACTGATACCAGTGGAGGAGACATCAGGCGTGATGTTGCTGCCAGACGAAGCCGAGTTGTCGATCCTGGTGTGACTCTGAATGAACTCGTCAACGGGGTTTCTGGAGGTGTGCCCGCTATTCATGAGACCAATGTTGTTCATGGCCATGGCGTTTCCAGCATTCGGAGGGTTGGCCTGAGGATTGGCCTGAGGGCCGCCTTTTAGCAAGTTCAACAAGCTGGTTGGGGCAGTTGGTTCGTGGGCTGAAGGCGCTCCAGACTGGTTTCTTTTCAACAAGTCCAATAACGGGTTGCTGGTCTTTGTCTCGGCGTCTGGGAGTCTGACGGCCGGGGCTGGTTCGTGGGACACCTGGCTCTTTTTCTCCAAGAGCTCCAACAACGGGTTGGAACCTTGTGGCGTGGCCTCTGGCGTGGCATCCTGCGCTGCAGAATCGACCGCAGAGATATCTTGGCCTCGCTTTAACAACGTAAACTTCTTCTTTGGAGCTTGGACCTGCGAGATACCAACGTGTGGAGCTTGGAAGGCGTTGACAATGCCACCACCATGGTCGTGGCTAGTCCCAGCATGGTTACCGTTGTTTGTAACATAACCGTGACCGTTGCTTGCAACATTATTGTTGTAGTTGTGTTTCCCACCTCCGGGGGTGATGGGCGTTCTAGGGGCATCCTCTACCTCATCCTCTTCCACTTCACCCTCTTCTTCGTCACTTTGGTAATGCTCGTAGTCGCTGTCGATCTCAAAGTGATCGAAGGAGCGGTTTTCGTACCCAGAAATATGTCCCTCAGCGTCTTCGTAGTCCTCGTAATCGCTGTACTCATCATCCCCAAACTTCTCAGAAGCATGGGACGGGGCAAACGGCGGGGATGGTGGAGAAATTACGCTCTGCTTTCTGGCCTGCTGAATGGCGCTATTCTTTCTTTCCAAGGGTGCTGGTGTTTCAAGGCCTTTGACCTTCTTCAACAAGCCTAGCAACTCGTGAGAGTCACTCAGGGTGTTTTTTGGCTTAAGTGGCCCCCCCTTTAATATGGATAACAAGTCGGAGCCGTTCAGTTTGGCCTCTTTTGGTTCCTTGGAGAGCAACTGCAATATTGTCCTATTGGAGAGCAATTGCAATAATTCCCTCGAGTTGGTCGTGTCTACACGGCCGTGGTTAGTTTGGGCGTGGGGCTGCGGTTGGTTCAGAATTTGGTTTTGGCTCTGATTTTGGGCTTGGCCATGGGTTTGGCCATGATTTTGACCATGGGTTTGGTCCTGCCCAGAGGCGTTTGGCTGCACCAAGACGGCCTCTGGGCTGTAGTGATGCAATTGCTGTTGATGCAACTGGGGTGTTGCGCTGTAAGGATGTGGTGGAATCATCGGCACAATTGGGAAAGGCATGATCATGCCTGGATGGAATGGATGGAACGGCATGTTCGGGGCAAAATTCGGCACCATTACTCCACCCGGAGCGGGTGGCTGGAAAAACTGTGGAGGCTGGAACTGCGGGGCCTCACTCCCCTTGGTCAACATGTTCAAGATTTCTCTTCCCGCATCGACATTCCCCTCTGGCTGCCCCTTGATACCTAGCAACGCCTTCAACTTCCGCTCCGCGTCGCGCTTCAACTCCTCCTCGCCAAAACCACCCTTCTGCTTCTTATTATACTGGATCATCTGCTGCAACATATTGCCCACGAGGAAAAAGCCCTTTGGGCTGGCACGGCACTTTTTGACCAACTTCTTGAAGTCAAACCACTTGATCTCCGAGATTTCGTTTCGCGCCTCTGGCACAAACTGGACATCATCCGGGATATTTTTCAACATGTAGATTTTGTAGTTTTTCCCCTGGATGGTTCTCTCGACGTACGACTCCTCGTCCATCTGGTTGCTGGCGTCGTAGCCGATCTCCTCCTTGATTTCACGCAAACAACATTCGGTGTCAGTCTCATCTTTGCCAATTTTCCCCCTAGGGAAACTCCAGGACCGCGACTCGGTCCCCTTCACCAACAAAACTTTGTCGCACGCTGCATTGAACAAGCACGCACCTCTAACTGGGATGCGCCGCTTGTAGTTGTTGAACGTGTTGATGGCCACATCGGGGTCACCCCACTTCCACAAAAGCGGGCACTTCTTTAAGATTTCCGTGGAAAAGGTTTTCATCTTCATTGACAGGAGTTTGGGGTTGACTTGCAAGATAAAGTCCAAGTAGAACCAGTGCGCCTCCTCGATCTGGAAGTAGACACGTTCGATGGATGACAAGTCCTCGGGTGGGCAGTTGATGACAAACCGCGCCAAGAGATCTTCTAGGATGCGGTCAATGGGTTCATTTTCAAAGCCGTTTCTAAGTTGTATAGACATGGCGAGGGTATGGGATGGGTGGAGACTGATGGGATGAAGTGCTTCAGCAAGCAGTGGAGTTTATTTAATGGCTGGCCGACGAAAAAGAGGTGTATGGCCGGTAGGGGCACGTTAACGTAAGGCGATGCGGCGAACAAGGCCGTTTCCCCCGTAATATCTCTCGAATTATCGGTAATCGGAAATAAACGACTGGCTGTTATACTGATAATCAATTTTTATTATTAACGTTTGATGTATTCAGACACGGTTGTGCTGAAGATATGCCGGGGGAGTTCAGAGTGGCTAAATCAAAGAGAGACGTTGCTCCATTGGGAATAAAGAGAGAAAGATGCACAGTGAAACGAGATGAGGTTAAAATAGGTAACTTTTATTATTTGAGGATCCGCTAGAGATAAAATTTAAAGGTTTCGGAGGAAATTTGCCTCATGGGGTGCAATATCACCGGGTTAGTACACCGCCGTAAAGATCTGACCAGGCGATTATTTAGCAGTACACAGCGGGCAGGAAGGAGGGACCGATTATTTAACAGCTATTATGGTTCAAATGAAATCTCCTGTACCCCCTCCCCTAGAGAAGCCTTAACCCAAGGCTTCAAAATATATGCTCCTTAATTAAATATATCCTGACAAAGTTAAAGTCTCAAGTCCAGCCTCCAGTTCAGGCTTCCAACTTCAGAGGTTAACATTAGCAGCTCCCAGTTTCCGACGGTTTAGTCCCCCCTCTATCATTGATTGGACAAGGGCAACTCACCAGAATTAAAATATGTTTCCAAGTTCAATATCAAAACCCGAGGCGGATAAGAAATCAGTTTTTTTTTTTTTTTTTTCCAGATCTGGACCACCCCTCAGCCTTTGCTCCATGTCTACACATGCCCCTCCATCACGTGATTGTAGTGGGCCTCTGGATTACCACAATTCACCGGTACGGAGAATGAAATTTCAATCTCTGCTTCCCCTTATTTCCTTTTCTATGCACCATCAATTAATACCATCCATGTCATTCAGGGTCGGCTACGTGCCAGAACACTTTTCCACGCCCATCCAGTTCGCTCAGACGCACCAGTATTTTGCCCAGCAAGGCCTCACCGTGGAATTGGTGCCATTTCCGTCCGGCTCCGGGCACTTGATCCAGTGCTTGGGCGAAAAGACCATTGATATTGCCATCGGCTTGACCGAGGCCTTTATTGCGGGTACTGCCAAGGGTAATGACACCTACAAAACCGTCGGGACGTACGTGTCTTCCCCGCTTTGTTGGGCAATCAGCACTGGCGCCGCGCGCGCGGAGTTGACGCGTGCCTTGCAGTTGCAGGGCAAGAAGATTGGTGTTTCGCGTATCGGTTCCGGCTCCTACGTGATGTCTTTTGTGCTTGCGTTGCAATCCCAGTTTTCTACCCCGTACTACGCGGGTTTCCCGATCTGCCACACCTTTAAGCACTTGAGAGACTCGGTCAACTTGGTCTCCACTGAGGTCGAGCACAGTGACGCATTTATGTGGGAGTACTTCACCTCAAAGAAGTATTACGACTCTGGTGAAATCAAGCAGATCGGTGTGATCTACACCCCGTGGCCAAGCTGGGTCATCACCGCCCGAAGCGATGTAGTGGACACTCAGAAAGAGGCCTTGCGGGGCTTCTTGAAAGCGCTCCAACAGGGGGTAACTCACTTCCAGGAGCACCAAGAGGAGGCGATTGAGTACATCCACCAGAATTTGGACTATTCTGAAAAGGACGCCAGAGCCTGGATCAAGACGGTCAGGTTTAGTGAGAATGTGGGTGCGGTTGACTGGGAGGCCGTGGTGACCAAGACTGCACAAGTGTTGACCACTGCCGGGGTATTGACCGATTCGAAAGAGGTAACTCAGGAGAGATTGGAGGCGGGGGTGCTCAGGGCAGGGGTGTAGATCTTTTCACAAGAGCGAAGTGAGCGTGCAAGCCAAGACTGCGATACGTGAATTAGCTAAAAGTATGCCACCTAAGCGCTTGTAGTTTGCATAAATAACCTTTAATTATTTTGAAAGGGCGAAATAAGCTATTAGAGACATATCAGAGGACCTCAAATGGGGAGAATGCGAGCTTAGCTCTTTTACTCGCCATTCGCAGGATGGTGAATGATTGCCAGTGAATTAAAGGACTTGTGTTATATTACTCCATACTAAATTAGATATCAAAGACCTATTCCACAGGATGGATAAAGTTTCTCAGGGCGGGGCATGGAATGCCTGAACAGCTATCTTAGTAACGATGTCTGGATTTGTCCAAATAGCAAAGTACTGGTTACAGAAACTGTTAGAGAGTGGTGTTGTGTCGCTGTTTATGCAAGCTTAGGGTAATTAGAGCCAACAACGGACAGGTGGCATGTATCGGATAAACGAAGGATAGGCCAATCAACAGAGCAGCAAGGATTTGTACGAATAAACTAGGATTATAGCCGGGGTTCTGCCATCCACTGCTCTAAGTACAATTCTCCAACCAGAGATGTATCTCAATGGATACACTAACAGCAATTCGTGCAAATAGTGGGCCGATCAGGCGCGGAGGATCAAACGTCATGGAAATGTCACAATGCGTAAGATCATTGGAATATGAAACCAAGCCGAGGGACACTATTCATCGCCTTTAGTAATAGGCTTGCTCTTTTCATCTTCAGCAACGACCGTTCCAGTAGATGGGATAGCTGTTTCAGCAGATCCCAGAAATGCTTGTGAAGGCGTCTCTGCTTCAATTTGCAGTACAGGAGTCCTTTCATCCGCAACAGTTTTCTCTCCAATGGTAATCTCTGGAACTCTCTTGCCTGTAATCTCATCCGTAGTCTCTCTTGTTTCCTTCGTAACGGTTTTTTCAGCAGCTTCTGATTTGTTTACAACTTCGATTTCGTTCCCCTGTACCGGATTTTCCTTTGGGTCCTCGCCGGTGATAAAGTCTGGGACATTCTCTGGAGCCACACCCTGTGGCATCTGGCCTGTCATCGCCTCTCCGATCACATCCCGCATTAACACCCTCGTCCCATCGTCCTCCTCATCATCAAGAAGCTTGTCGATTCTAACCCCGCTGCGGATCTTCAGAATAATCTCTGAATCAGCATTGCGTGACGGAAGCGATTTGCTATGCTTTCGGTTGGGTCCCTGGGGAGCGTCACTCTTGGTTAAATTCGGCAACAAACGGTCGGCGTACTGGATCAAAAACTCCACCACCGGCCGGGAATTGTCGTACTCGCTTGGATCGAGGTCGTGATTGGGGTGACTGAGCAACGATGGCTGGAAAATGGCGGCGAGGTTCTTGGCGTGCATCAAGTTGGCCTTGCAGTTCATGGCAAAGAGGTTGAGCATGTCAAGGAGGTACAAAATAACCTGTTTGTTGGTGGGCGGGAGGCGGTTGAGGAGGGTCTTGTAGTCGGCGAGCGCGGAGTTGATTTCGCCAAGGAGGATATGCCGGGCCGAGGCAGAAGCCTCAGGCGAGACCGGGGCCATGGTCTCAGGCAAGGGTTCCGGCGAAGCCTGCGACGAGGCTGGCTCGGCTTCTGACGAGGCCTCGCCCTTTGCCTTACGTAGTCTCTCCCGGAGCGCCAGCCGGCCCATAATCGGAACCCGGAACTCCTCGTACATCTCTAACGGCACTAACGGCTCCGGGAGCGAGTTTAAGTACCGCCGGAGAAGCGACGCCGCATCGTGCACGTGGTACCCCCCGAGTTCCCAATCAAGGTTTCGCCCATAGTTCGGCGGGGAGCTGAACACAAACTGGAGTTCCTTGACTCGCTTGGAGCTTCCACCTATCCGGAAAATCCCCTCCACCTCGAGCGCATTCTTCTTGAGAAACCGCCCGCAGTTTGCCACCACCATCGGAATCGAGCCGTACAATACGAGCTCGCCGGGTTGCGGCGCCTGGAGCGAGATACCCACCCCGGCCACCCGCACGGACTCCTCAAGAGGCACCCCAAACACTTGGCTATCGTGGGCAGAGAGGAATTGCTTGTGTGCTGCGCCGTCGGCAAAGGAATCGCGCTGCTCGCGGAGGCGTGCAAGATCCGTGGGCGCCTTGACGTTGGACGAAGAGCGCGCACGGTGTTTCATGATTGGCCGCAAGAGGCGGTGCTCGTGTGACGGCGGCAGCGGTGAGAGGTAGCGCGGCGGGGATGCGCATGCGTCGTCTTTTTCTCGCCCGAACAGAAACCTGCGGTGGTGCAGGTTTCGCCGCAGACGTGGTTTGCGCGGACTCACGCGCGGGTCTGGCGTTGTCGCGCGCGCTTCTGGGAACAGCTCTGTTGTAGGCGTGATGGCTGCATCAAGCAAGTTGCCGGTATCGACAAAGGGGCTATCGACGGACTCGTTCAGCTTGAGCTGTGTGAGGTTTTTGAACCAGCCCACGAGGCTCGGCTTGGCGGTGGGGGAGCTGGGCGACGACATCACAAAGATTGGACCGGCGTAACGATGTATCTGTTGGGATGGGGTTAGGTGAGTAGGCTGTATCTGGGTAGCGCGTGGATGGTTTGTGTGGGGGGGGGGGCTGTAGTATGTAGCTGGGCAGATTAACGGTGATTTACTGAATCTTAAAATAGAATCGGTTGTAATAGAAGAGTTTTTCTGTAATTGCGTCGCGTCCCCCCTAAGTCCCAATGCAGGAATTTCTGGGCATATTGTGCAACAACGTTACTGCATTTAGGGGTCTTGCGGCTGACATCACGTTTTGTGTCACGTGGAAGAGCGAATTGGGCGAATTATCTACCGGAATGGGATGCGCGAGCTACGTTAAGGGGGGGGGGGGGGTTTTGGCGGCCTCTGTTTGTATTATCGGACAATACGGCATTAATACCAGAAATTCATCCACCATATGGATTGACCATGACCTACCCTATCTCTGTTAATTAAAACATCGGTCTTTATGAAATAGAAGTAGTGAATATAGAACAGATAGACTTCGTCTGGGCTGTGTTGCTGTAGTGCAGAGTTATGTCATTGCGCATTAATAGCCGATCTGACGTTAGTTCTAACTTTCTTGTCACGTGCTATGTTGGAACGGTCTTCTGTCTCAGCTATCCTGTACTGATAAATATGCGGTACTGGTAGGGTCACGGGAAAGAGACACTTTGACGGACTTTTTAATAGCTCGAGCCTCCATCCAAAAGTGTAATCCCACTGTTGGTGCTATTTTTTAAGCACTAGGTTTTATAACAGAGGTGTTGGTTTTAAACGGTTCTTGGAGCTAAAACGAAGGGGAGGGGGTAGAGCAGTTGTCGGCTCGTGTTTTCGCCCAGACTCGATGTTAGCCTCTTCTACATTTGCTAGATCACAGTTAGGGCTAGTTGCTTGGAGTTATATTTGAAAGAGTAACGAGGTATGACCAATAACCACTGAGTAGGCTTGAAAAATGACCCCCTGTTTCCACCATTCATTTAGTTTGTCTTTTCTAAATGGTGGCGCATTATTGTGGCGCATTATTGTGGCACATGCATATACAGGAGATTGCTGTTTCCTGCAGCTCATATCTTGCCTCACATGTCGTTTGCTCTCAGGCCTCAACCCAAGGCAGAACTTTCATCAACGTAATTGCTGCAAAACCATAGGTAGACCCCTTTGAGGCCTGAGTTTAGATAACTTTTGATCCTTATAGTTTCAATATCCCTGCCCTCTATGTCTGAAATAGCTAACTCAGCTGAAACTGCCTCTGAAACCCTGCCATTGTTGAATGACTCGCCCCGGCGCGGCCGAAGAAACAGCAACGTTTCCATCTCCACTAATAGTATTACATCAGCTGACCTACTTCCTGGAAGCAGCAATCATCACAACCACTCCCGGCCGTTGCTCTCGCCCGACGACCCGCAGGTCTCCCCGCTCAACTTGCCGCAGATCAAGTTTATTCGCCTCGTCACGGTTGTAGCGCTTATCATCAATGCTATCCTCTTTGTGTGCCTTCTTGTGAGTGATTTTATCGAGATTCCTGGTTTCCACAGTCGCGGAAAGGCCTACGTCGAGCTCAACCTCATTGTCATTGCTTTGGTGAACAACCTCATCACTCTCTTCCAGTTTCAAATTCCTAGCCGTGTGGAACGGACCATCGGTTATGCAACAGCGGGCCTTCTCACCTTTGACTTTTTTGTTGTTTTCTCACTTCTGTATCTCAAGCAGCAGTTTGGTCTCAACGGCGAGACGATTCTCCTCTGGACCATTATCCAGATCGCAGGCTGCGCCTTGTTTGATAAGTATGTGGACCGTGGAAAGCGGTACCAGGAGATCAGATACACTGGTAGAGTAGAAACCCGCCGGACCATCTACGAGATGTTTGTCGTGAGCATCCGTATTATTGTCAGGTCATTCCTATTGACCATTGTGGTTCTCTTGAGCTTTACGCTCTGGCTCCGTGCCTACGATTCACGTATAAGACCGTGGGGCGAGATGGTTCCGATTGAAAATGACCAATTTAAGGTCCATCTTGCGTGCTACGGTGACGTCACAAACACCACCTCGCGCTCCGCCCAGCCGATCATTCTCATTGAGTCCGGTCAATTGACCTCTTCGGAAGAATTCTCCATCTGGGTGAAGGAGCTCCACAACTTGAACAAAATCGACCGATACTGCGTGTGGGACCGCCCTGGCTACGGCTTCTCGGATTCTGCTCCATCGCCCACCTCTGTTTCTATCGTGGCGGAGTACTTGCTCCAGGCGTTGGACCGGCAGAACATCCACGGCCCCTTTACGCTTGTTGGGCACGACATTGGTGGGTTGTATTCCCGCATTTTTGCGTCCCGCTTCCCGGCGATGATCCATTCGGTGTTGCTTGTTGATGCATGGCACGAGGATTTGATGTTGAAGTCGCCGTTGGACAACTCGGGCGGGGGCAATAATGGCCCCGATCGAGGCGGACGACGGGACGAGAAGTTCCCGCTCTTGGGAAAAATCCTGTCTATGGGGCCGTTGCACGGTCTCAGGCTCTGGATCAGCGGAATCTTATCGCCGTTGGGTCTCCGTCTCCACGCGGGCTGGTTGCTACACCGGCACGGCTCCGCCGACCGTCTCTACGGCCGTGACATGAAGTACCAGGGGAAGAATGTCCGTTTCCGGTTGCAGGAGCAATTGACGTCCTCCATTCTCTCCTACAACGAACTCAAGGCCGTGGACTTCAAGGACTTGCCGTTGAGCGTGATCAGTTCGTCGTACATGATTGAAAACTCCGAGAGCTGGGGCGAGTGGCAGCGCAAGATCACCCACTTGTCCCGCAACTTGATCGAGTGGGTCATCGCAGACGAGTCGAATCACGAGATCTGGCGCAATAAGAAAGGTAAGAAGCAGTTGCAAGATTTACTCTTGCGGTTGATTGGCGTTCTTGACCGATAGGCTGCGGGGCTACGTTTTGGGTGGAATTAAATAAATTGAGTTGAATGATTTACGGGGGTTGAGCTGGTGCGTAGTTAGTGAGAGATAAATTTTAATACCCTTGTCAATGGGTTAGGTGTCTAGTTTCAGGGTGAGGGTTGTAACTGTCGGGGGTTGGGGTGTAAATGGTGTGTGCCACGTGTATATGACACGTGAATGTGTTACTTGTGGTTGGTGACGAAATATGAAGGCAGGTTATAGTTAACTCGAAATAGAATGTTACGTGTAAGATTTCGGTATTAGAAAATGGCCAATATAGGAATAGCTGTAAATTTTTTTAGCCAGAATTACGAATTTCATTCCATTCATATCGTACTGCATATTTAGTAAAGGTGTCGTTTAACCTGACGGACATCAGCGATCGTTATCTCCTTACCTCCGATCGACAGACGCCCTGGTACATCGTATCCGCCTCAGTATATAAGGCCGCCGACTACCCTTGTGTATATTTTACGAGGAAAAAAAAAAAAAACCTCTTTTGGCTAGCAGTATCCATCCCACAGTATAGATGTGGCTGCAAAATGAGTAAAACACATTGAGCTCAGTGAAACCGGAATTTAAAAAATCGGGTCATCTTGCCAATTAATCTAAAATCAGGTCCGTCTTGTTGATCGATCTAAAATCTGGATTGGTGAAAACCAACACCGTGCAATGATTGTTAGCAAAGCTTTGAGCATGAGCGATTTATCAGTGACAACGGACTCAGCGGACTTTTCTATTATGATGTAACCTCATAATAGCTCTGGAGGTTGTGACCGGCACATAGAGCGAAGAGAGTTTTAGGATGGAATTACTAAACTTTAACCCGTGTAACTTGCACGAGTATAATAGACTCCAAACGAGCAGATTCTAGGCTATCCTAGATTTGTTAAACTTTCATAGGGGCCGCGTTAGAACCAAGGGGTAATGTGCGCGTGCACTTTATATGTACGTACACTTTATATGTACGTACACAATACCAGGGGCTGCCCAGACTGCCTGGTGAACGTGGTTGCAATTGCTGGATTTCAGGCTCGGTTTGTCGTACTGCTTGGGGACTGGAATTATTGAGGCGTTGAAATAGCAGTCCCTTCTGATATTTAAGGAGGGGTTACAACTCATCCTAATATTTAGTCATCGGACAAAAGCTTTCGTTACGCCAGCCGGTTTAGTATTCGTGGCGATATAGCTGGAACGTGTTGATTAAACCAGAGATTTAACAGTCTACCGTGCTCTTCCATATATATCAGTTTCGGAAGCGAAATAAGGTTTACATATTTCAGGCACATATGTAATCGTCTAGATTGAACACAAATTCTGCTTCTAGAAACAAATATCATCGGGTGCTTCTTTATAAATATCGCAGTTCGACTTCCCTGAACTCCGTTGCCACTTATTGACGTTTTAATACCCCCTATAGCCTTTTCAGAGCTAATGACGGCAAGAAATTAGTAGGGGTCCCGAAATATTATCGGAGCTGCTCGAGCTTGGAATGGTTCCTGGAATTGGGCGTTTTCCAGAAGGATTGGTTTCTAGATACCATTGTTACCCTTTTGGATCCGGAATATCATGCATAAATGAAACTTTGAAAACCGCACCCCTGGTCCACATAGGCTTTAACTACTTGATGTGGATCTTAGACCCGTGTTTACGTAATCCAGCTTAAATTTAACTTTGAAAAAATAACCTAGTGCTGGTTATTCCAGGAACCGATCGGCCCTCTCGATACAATTTTAAGCAATCGGTCAGGTTTTGCGCCAAACGCTTCACCAATCTGCAGCTAGAGGTACAAGTTCCCAGACCGTTCAATGGGAGCAAAGGAAGCTAGAGGGATGGAGTCCGTCATATGGAAAGCCATGGCTCCATTCCTTGTTGATGAAAGGTCGAGGTACCAGGCCAAAGCTAACAAGAAGATTTAGTAAAGGTATCAAAATTTGATGGTTACCGCCTGTTAGACGCTATCTAGCATACCATAAATCCGGGTCCGTAAGGGCTTAAATACCAAGTCTGCATATGATCTGCAACGCTTCCAGACATCTAAGATTGTGGTACATACGGCCTATATGAACTTTACAACTTGAGTAGCGGCTTCGGTTAAAGTAAGAGCTTGATCTGAAAAGGTTTACCTTACGGGAACTCTGAGATATAGCTGATAGCACCCATTCTCTAATTAGTGTAAGTTCTAGTATTCTAGCTACATTATATTCGTAGAGGCTTCTGCTTTTCTGTCATGTATAATATGCAAGCTTCTATGATTGAAATTACAGTTTACGATTCACCCAAAGCTTTCAAAGCTACTAGAGCTTGACCGAGCATTTATCGGACTTTCGGGAACCAGACATGGTACCTGTGCCTAATACAACCATCGCATGTAGCATCAGCCACCACGGAAGTAGAGCGTACCACAGACCACACAGATCGTATGGGTACCAAGCTTACAGATATCTTACCGCTGATTAGCTCAGAATATTCAAGACATGTAGTCTGAGGTACCCAAACTGTACCCAGAAATTTGGCCGTAAAATTGATCGGGATCTAGACCGGTAGCTTCAGGCTATCTGGATGCACTACCCTTGTCTAGGGTTAAATGGTACCTGAGTCCTGATACCGCGGTATCCTAGCTCTTGGCCTGTAAGTTACCCCTGCGATACCTTCCAGTCCTCGATGATTGAAGTACGGCTTTCCATGGAGGCTTAGCCTATCCGAACTGGTACTTTCACAGAGGGGCGGGCAACCGAATGGGCAAATAAAGCCGCCACACCTTATCTACACCTGCCGTGCAGTTAAGGTTTCATCGGTGGGTCAAGGGTTACGGGTATGCGCATGCAGGAATGCTTATGTATAGGCCAGTCTATGCATGCTTGCCCAGGTACAATGCTTAAAAATTGTTCTACAGGATTTTTATATCTTTCGATGTCCATTATAGGAATAATGTCTGCGTAATTGCAGTAACTACTTTGAAACGGGTTATTTTAGTTTAACAATCCCTTATTAATGCAGTATGTGGATTGTCACCAAAAAATTAAAGTCTGGAACTCAGATTTAGATTCACACTTGTACGCCATACGCCTGAGTTACTTGGTGCAGCACGGCTTATTGTTGCACCGCGTCACCTACTCAAAGAAGCTACTTATTCAGTGAAACTGTGGTACAATTCGATAAAAAGTAAGGGCTAGAATATTATATAAATCCCCTTAAAATCCCCCTGTGACTTGAAGACCCTCTTTTCACTAACCTTCATATATCATGCAAATTTCCAACCTTTTGACTGTCGTTGTATGTGCTCTTTTTGCCTCCGAAGCCGAAGCCTTAAACTTGAAGGAAGGGGTTTATTTGGGCGGTAAGATATTGTCCTTTGACCAAGGGAAGGGTATTTTTGTCCCAGGGGTCACTACTTCCTCTCCGACCTCCACTCAAAATGACCCTACCGGACAGCCCTCTAATGCTCCAACCGAGGCTCCAATCTTGAAGAGAGCTCATTTTGCCCCACCTCCACGTCATACGACTTTATTCACTATGCACAGGCCATGGCATAACGGCACTCACGGTGGACCCGGTCATGGTGGACCCGGCCATGGTGGACCCGGCCATGGTGGACCCGGCCATGGTGGACCCGGCCATGGTGAACCCGGCCATGGTGGACCCGGTCATGGTGGACCTGGCCATGGTAGACCCGGTCATGGTGGACCCGGTCATGGCGGACCCGGCCATGGTGGACCTGGCCATGGTGGACCCGGTCATGGTGGACCCGGTCACGGTGAACCCGGCCATGGTGGACCCGGTCACGGTGAACCCGGTCGCGGTGGACCCGGTCATGGTGGTCATGGTGAACCCGATCATGGTGGTCATGGTGAACTCGGTCATGGTGGTCATGGTGAACTCGGTCATGGTGGTCATGGTGAACCTGGTCACGGTGAACCTGGTCATGGTGGTCATGGTAATGATGGACATGGACATGATGGACCTGGTCGTGGGGATGGCTTTGGTCATGGAAATGAGGGCCCCAACGGTCACAGACATGGTAAACGTGAGAGCTACTACCCACAGATTGACATCGAACAGGCGAAGAGAGCTTTCAAGAAAAACGCCAAGTTTGACCCGCTCCCCTAAACTTATACCATTAAACCTATACCCAAGATCAAGTATCTTTTTCATTTATTGTTTCATAAGATTTTTGGGTTCTACTCCAAATTCTTTTTATTATCCCCCCTTTTCTCCGGTTGATTCGAGCTACTTTAATAAACATAATTCACTAATCTGATAGCGTATAACTGCACTGGGCATGTGTCTTACGTCTGAAGTCCATTTTTAGCCGTGGCAGTTTGTTTCCTATACACCTGCAACTCTGGAGCTCGTGCTGTAGATATCTCGAACTACCCCCAGTACCTACACTGCTTATGTCTATGAACGTTGTGATTGGCTTTGAAGCCTTTGTATATGATTAAATAGCTAGGGTTTCGCTAGTGGCCCTTGCCTACCGGGGTCTCACCGGTAACCTTCCCGACCCATTCCTTGGCAACGTCTCCCATACCGACCATACAGACAGTCTGCCAGACACCCAACCCGATTCTCGGGGTGACACCTCTGTACAAGCCCTTGATCCCGTTCTGCTGGTAGATGTACTTCAAGGCAGTGACGACAGTCAAGTTCTTTGGACGGTTCGAGTCCTTAGCTCTGGACTGCATCTCCACTCTGACCACCTCGATAGGCTGGTTCCACGCGGACAAACCACCACCAATAACCGAACACGCAATCTTCTCGACAAAGGATAACTTATCGCTTTCACTTTTACCGGTGGCGCTTCTGATCCCTTCTTCAGCCAATCTGGCCAACCCGTAACGGGAACCCCAGTTGGTGCACTGTCTGATAGCCACAGCGTTTACACCTCTGTTGATCCCCCTGATCCCTTCCTTCTTGTAAATCTCTTTGAACACCTGGAACGTACTCTGCACTGGAACACCCGTGGCAGCAGCCTTGGAACGGGTAATCTCAACCGTCTTCATACACGTGCAGAAGCCCATCGTAAGGTATGCCTGAGCCAATCCACCGGCAACACCACCGAGGATACCCGCGCCGAAGTTGTTGGCACCAGCCTTCTTGAAGTGATACTCGGCTTCGGTGGAGACGAACAACAACACGGCACCCTTGGTGGAGGCCTCGAGCCACGCCCACGGGATCAACCCCTGGTAGTAGCCCAACGGGCCACCTCGCGACCACACAACCTTGGCGGCTTGGATGAGGGAGAGCGAACGGTTGGCCGCCATGGTGGTCTTGGTGACTTCAAGCGGCTGGCCCAAAGTCGTGACTTCGAACAAGTTCAACCCAGCACCCAAAAGGATGTTGGAAAAGTTGACTGGCTTCTTCTGGAGCTCCGGGGCGGCAGAAGACATGGTGTATGGATAGTGGTGCTGAAGGGAAAAAAGAAAAAGAACGGCACTCGTCGATCAATTTATGTATCGTAAAGCACCGACTAAGCAACAAGGAAGCGAGACGTAGCGTGTGTGTGAGTCTCCGGGGCTCGTCCGGTTTTCACCCTCCTGCCGCGAATTTTTCCGCGTACCCTGCTAATGTGAGATTGCAAGGCTGTGAGTAATCCAGTGTGCCGGACATTGGCCTCCGATGTCGGACGCCGACTGTCGGATCAGAACGGGTGAGCCCGACCGGGTATCAGTGGCGCACTAAACAGCTAGATACACTAATGTTGGGCACAAAAATGGTATAAAGAGGAACTGAGACGGCGAATAAATAGATGCTGGAGGACTGAGGGGAAGTGGACCCTTATGGAACACAGTGGTAGATTCGGATGGGTGGAGAGCTCGCCCAGCAGCGCGGCAAGGCACGTGATGGGCGAATTTGCGGCGGAACATAAACTCCTCACCGCCGGTATCCTCGCCAGTTCATTTCCGAAGATCGGAGGCGGTAGACCGATAAAAGGGTGGCCGGCTATCTTCGACTAAGGTATTAAGGGAAAACGCGTTACTCAAGGGTATGGCTGTATAAGCGATTGGTTAATATTTTCAGTGGTGAGTGTAAAGAGTCTAGGTTACTGGTCAATGAAGGGGGAATTTCGGTCGGGTTTATATGTCTCCGGCCTAAGCGTAGTATTAGGGGTATATCAGAGCCACGGGTATGCCATCCAAGTATGGAAGACAAATATGGTTGTTGTTATTGGCAATATGGCAGACTTTTCATATCTATCGTCTTTACACTCGTACCTATTTTAGTCTCTACGTTTTGGATATTACCTTAAATACCTAGTTTTCTATTTCATTCTTCATTTTTTTTTTTTGGATGTTACTCAAAATATGTAGTATATCTACCTAGGTAATGATATAACTGGGTATAATTGATTGATCATTAGATCTGAAATAAATATATAAGTTGCCTATATAATTTATATAGGATAAAAGAGGGAGGGATCGACTTCCTTACATAGAGTATTGACCCCTATCACGTGACAGATACACGCTTACTACAAGGCACATGTAGCACCTTTACTCCAAAATACCTGGTTTTCTATTTTAGTCTCTATTGGTTTCGGATACCACTCTAAATACCTAGTTCTGGCCGTTACTGAAGCTCATTACAGCCCATTTACCGCTCGAACACCACAACTCACCAACCTTGTTGCCCTGGTCCCTCCAGATCTGGCTCAACTCCTCATCCTTGCCCTTTTCCAAGCCGCAACAAACATCCGCCTTGCACGTTCTCAAGGACCAGATTTTCAACCCGGAAGAGGCCAAGTCGCCAATACCGGTGATGAACGGAGTGTCTCGTGGCCACTTTCGGTCGCCCGTGAGCTTGCGGTAGTTCAAATCGCCCTTAAAGATGACCAAGTCGGACTTTGCCAACTCCCGATGGACCTCGGCTCCACCGTACTTCGTTTCCGACGGCTTAATATGCCAGTAGTCCAATTCAGCCGCCCAGAATTCGTGGTCCTGCAATTCAAGTGCCCCCGAAGCCTTGTACTGCTCCAATTGCCGGGCCAAGAACTCCAACGGCTCGCGGCCGGTGGGGAAGAACTCCTTGCTGTTGAGGTCATCGATGGTGATCTGGTAGTCCTTAATCATAGTGTCGGAAACCATCCACGGGATGGTTTTGCAGTGCAAAACAACCTTGGACACGAGCTTGGAGTCGAGCAAGAAGAGGGTGAAAATCAAGTCCGCGTAGAATTCGAACCCGGAGTTGTCTAGCACGATATCCACGCGGCGATGCGCCTTGTCCTGGGCCTTGTTGTACAACTGGTCCCACGCAGCGTCCAAGTCGTTCGCCAAGATGTTCTTTTCCGAGTTCTTGCGCGCCTCAGCGCCCTGAACCGACTTGATGTCTTCCAACGTTGCGTTGGCGAGGAGGGACAAGTCGGTGGCGTTTCCCCAGAGCGAAATGTCGGCAAATTCTCTGAATAACAACTTTAAACTTTCGACCGAAACCTCGTGTTGCAACTCCGCGTGCAACTGCTGGTATCTGACGGCGAGCTCCACCACCCCAGCCTCGGAGGACTTGAAAGTTTCCTGTTTCAAGCGGTTGAAAACGTCATAGTCTTTCCAGAGTGGCTGCTGGACGAACGCAATGTGCGCCCGGCGGTAGAGGTAGCACTCCGAGAATAGCCATGGCGCCGTGAGCCATGTTGGCGGGGTCTCCAACTTGGCGATGCGTTCGTCGTAGGACGCCAAGCCCGGCACGGATGGTTCTTCGAACGGGAGAATCGCGTGGTCGAACCGAATGTCGAGCAATAGTTGTGACAAGCGCGCAAAAATGGTTTCTCCCTGGGTCAAAAAGTCCTGGGAGCTGCAGTTCTCCACTAACGCCTGCCGGATGTCGTTCACCATGTTCTCTACAATCGTTGGCCAGCGCTTCTGGCAGGTGGAAAAGGCAAACGACGTCGGGTCGTTGTTGTAGTAAACGGATGGCAAGGTCATTGGTATCTGGGGTGGCTATCTGGGGTGGTTATCTGAGATGGAGGTTGCTTTATATTGAACAAAAGTCGTGCACCGTCGGGTCGGGCGTGATTCATCCGTATGTGCAGGAAATCCTGAGAGGGGGGAAGGTGCCAGGGGTAGGGCCCTGAAAGTGTCGTAGATCTGAATTGTATTATGGTTGTTCCGGAATCGCCACAAAGCCCAGAATATTAACAGCCCGTAATATTATCTAAATATAATGATCCTGCCTAGCATCTGCTTGTAGCTCGTGATATCGTGGGGCTTAGCAGTAAAGATCGCAATGGTCAGTTGGAATAGTAATGGGGTATCCAAACGGTATACCGTTCTCTCTCCATACTGGAAATGTCCAGCCCTGAAGCACGTATATGCGATTGGTATTTTCCTGGCGGTTTGTTGACCTCAAGCGTAGATTAATATTTCAGCGAAACGTCAGAAAATATCAACCGTTTCAATATCTTGGCTTTAAATACATCACTTTAATCAATTATTTGTCAATTTTCATTTACGTCTACAATTTGCTCTCGCATACTTCCGTGTACTTCGCCAACGGAACAACCGGCTGCGGCGCGCGGGTGAGCCCCAACATCGACTTGAACTGGCCAATGTTTGCAACCACCTCGCCTGACGGGTACCCGACGGGGACCGGATCGCGCAAGTCCGCACGGATGCACTCGATAAGCTCTGCCTGCGCAAAGTCGCCCTCAACGTTCTTCGCGATGGTGGCCACCAAGGTTGGCAAGGACTCGGCAAACTCCTGGTCGGCACCCGCGATGATCTCATCCACCTTCTTCGACGAGATCTCAACCTTGCCGTCCAAGTAGTTCAACACGGCAGCGGTGACGATCTTGGCCACGGGCTGTACTGGCGGAGCCTGTGACTTCAAATGGACCACCAACTTTGCAGCAGAGTCACCCAAGATTGTCGTGCGGTAGAACGCCAAGAGCTCCTGCTGCGAGATCTCGCGTAACAACTTGACGCACTCCTCGTTGCCGTAAAAGTCGTAGAAGCCATCCATGATCTTGTGGTTGAACGAGCTAAACTCCTCAGTCAAGTTCTTCTTCTTCTGGAGCTTTTGCGCGCACAACGCATCCACGTGCTTTGCAAACTCTTCAGGGGTAAAGGCGGCGATTTTGTCGGCAAACCTGTTCAAAAAGTTTACAATCCGGCTCTCGAGGTACTTGGTCTCGCGCTCAGACTGCACAAGCACCCGCAACCCAAGCGTTGTTCTGGTCGTCTTGACCCCGCTGAACACGACATATCCGAGCTGTTCCTTGGTTCGCAATTGGTTGAAGCATGGCTCGTGAATCACCTGTCCTAGCAAATCGGACAACGCGGCGACCCTCGTATTGCTCACCAACCCTGTTTGCACAAAGTACTCGATCACGGAGTTTACGTTCTTTGGATCCGGAATTTCTCTTTCGTAGCGGAAGGTCTGGCCGTCGGGCAAGAGGTACGACCGCAAGCTGGTGACATGGGACTCGGAGAGCTCCGGGACGGCAAAGATCGCGTTAACAGTGTGCGCGATGACCACCGCCTCATCCTGCTCGTAGTTTCCATGCACGAGGAGCTCCTTCGACGCCTGCTGGAAGATGCACGGGATGAAACCGAGCAACGTGTCGTACGTCACCTGGGGAAGCACCGCGATCCGCTCGTCCATGCTCCAGGTCTGCTCGTGAAGAAGGGTGTTCGACCACTGGCCGACCTGGTTGTAGGGCACGCCAAAGCCAAAGTTCTTCAAGTGGCGCTCGCACTTCTCCTTCATGATGGTGAAGCGGTCTTTGCGCGGGGTGAAATGTCTGATGGTGCGCAAGATCTGATCCATGAGCACAGGGAGCTTCTCGTTGTAGCCGAGAAGCTTGACCTGGAACCCGTCGCGGAACTGCGACACGTCGTAGTGGAGGCCGCCGAGGTACGCATCGTAGGAAAGCGCGTCCAACTCATCCTCCACGAGCTCGAGGTAGAGCGACATGAGGGAAGCATTGAGGGCGGACGCGTTGGTGATGGGGAGATGGAACACCATCAGAATGTTGGCCTTCGGAACCCAGAACTGGTCGTCTTTCTTGAACCAAAGCGAGGAGACGGAATCCAAACTCTTTGCGGAACCGTTAGCTTGCTTCTTCCCCCCGTTTGCGGAAGCCACAACCAAATGCGGACGCTTCGCCGGAACATCCACCTCGACCTTCTTCACGGAAAAGTCTGTTGGGAGAAATGGATTCGGTCCCGGTAAGTGAAAGTGCGGGCTAGGCCTAGCAGCGGCAATCTTGGCCAAGAAGTCCGTGGCCAACGGATCAACCGCATACTCCGTGCCGTACCACTTCTCCTTGAGATCCAACCCCTCGAGCTCCTGGCCGACCAACGTGATTCGGAAGTTGGTTGCGTTCAAATGACCAAGGAACTCGCTGGTCTTGGCGGCGCTCCACTCGCGACGCTTGGAGCTGCTGAGGAGGAAGTTGCGCGGAATGTGTTCGCGCTGCAACTTGCCGGCCAAGTCGGAAACGGTCGACGCGGTCGCCGACTTCTGGCGGAACTTAAACCCGTTATCGCCAATGGTCTTGAGCTCCGCGTGGATCCACTCCTGGGGTCCCTCCTGCTGCAACATCGCGAGGTACTCAAAGACACTGACGACAATCTCCTCATAGTGCTGGAGCCCCTTCGGGGTGAGGTCAACCTCGACGCCAAAGACCGCAGCACCGGCGCCGATCTCCTGTGCGCCGGCTGACAACCCGGTGGCGTAGCCCTGCTCCTTCAAGCGGTACAATAACGAGCCTTTGCCTTCGTGGCCGACCAAGTGCGCAAAATAGCTCGACGGCTGTGACGCCCAGTTCGCATGCTGCTCGGGCACCGGGAACAGGAGCTCGAGCGAGCGCTTGTCCTTGACCGGGCGTGCACGGATCAACTGCAGGAGATGCGCGCGCGGGAACGGGACGGCGCCCGCGTAGTCGAGCGACGCGCGCTCAATGTTGGGTATGGCGCTGAATCGGTCCGTGACCCAGCCCTGCAACACGTCCAAGCTCTCGCGGCCCAAGACGGTAACCTTCATAATGTTGGCCGAGTAGTGCGCGCGGTACCATGCGATTAACTCCTCCCGCACGTCAATACCCGCGCGCAGCGGCACGTCGTGGAGCGTGTCGAGGTTACCCGTCAGGAAGCTGTGGTACGGGTAAGCGGGGTTTGAGAGAAACTTGTTCAACTGGTACAAGCGCCACATGTCGCTCTGGAGGTTTTTTTTATTTTCCGAGTCGACCGCCTTGATCTCGCGGTCCTTGCAGTCGGGGGAGAATAGCGGCGCGGTGAAGAACGGCGCGAAGCGGTCGAGGGCGCCTGCAAGGTGCTCGTGGTTAACCTCGAAGTAATAGTTGGTGTGTTCGCTGGCAGTGTACGCGTTCGAGTGTCCACCGTTCTTCGCGAGAAAGTCAGAGTACGCGTTTTCGGACGGGAACGGCTCGGAACCCATGAAGAGGAGGTGCTCGTTGAAGTGCGCAAGCCCACTCAACGGGACCCCGGCCACGGTCGGATCCTGGAATGACCCGACGTGCACATCGAGAGCAGCGCCGGCCTTGTCAGCGGTCGGGTCGTGGATCAAGAGCGCCTCGAGGTCATTTGCGAGGCGGATCACACGGTATGACCGGTCGTCGAGGTCCGGCTTCTCGAGGGTGTTGGTGACGAGAGACATAGGGGTATAGCTGGGTAAACGGGAACTGTAGTAACGGTGGTAAACGGTGGGCGCTAGGTGTGTTAGTAGTTATTGGGAGGGGAGGCGTAGCAGTGATGGAAGCAAAGCCGATCAAAGTAGGCCACAAAAGTTATTCAACGTGGTAAATGTCGTGGCAATATAAATGGCGAACATCAAACGAAGCTTTGCAGATGACAGGACTGCGGCACCTTGGTGGTACATACAGAGGCTAGAGAGTGTAAGAGGGCGACAGGTAAACGATCGACGGAACATATACTGTGCGGTCCTAGATATAGCGGCTATATGAAGGGGCAAGATGGAGAGAAAGAAATGGTTCGTTTTGCTGCCGCCACAATGGTGCGCTGAAATGTGGGCGAAAATCTGACGATCGTGTGCCACGCGGAGTGAAAAGTCGAGGGGCCACATCCGACATGTCGTGGAGGTATGAGCCTGTATACCTTGGCTGAAAAAAGCTTGGAAATCTGCCAGCTGAACCAGAATTCCATATTATACGCAATATACAGAGAATTTTACTACGGTTAATACAGAAGACTCCTGGTGGATTGAAAATAACGTTTTATTGGTACTAGGGGTTTCATTTTGTCCTTAGAGCTATGTAATGGTCTTAAACAACAGCAGAAGTAGAGTTAGGTACTAGTATTAGAAACACTCATTGTGTTCATCTCTATTCTCGAATCGCACGTTATCATCGGCAGGCGTGTACCTTCAATCACATTCCCAGTCTTGATTTATGCATACACTGATCATAAGATATCATACTCCGCCTCTATACATCTAGAGACCCGCCTCCAACTTGTTCATCCAGGCGGTGGACTCCGCCTTCAATTGGCTGTATGTCACCAACTGATTCTGCTCCTGGTCGTACTTGATCAACCACTTTTCCGTCGTCTCCCCCAAGGTGTTCAACAAGTTCAAAATCACCAAGTAGAGCTCAGTCACAACCATGTTGAGCTTCTTGGCATCCAACTCGATAATCCCCGGAACCACAGCGCTCTGGTTACCGTCGTAGCGGGCAATGAAGGAGTACAACGCCTCACAGGCCCCACGGTAGTCTTCGAAGCTCAACCGCAAGCTGTACAACACTTTGTAGTAGCTCAAGGCGGCCTTCAAGTTCACCTGTTCGCGAGCCATGTCAAGCAAAACACCGTCGAACAACAAGAGGTCGGTGGTGGTGGGAAACCGCATCAAGCTCTTGACCTCGCTCTTAACCAACACCATCTCCACGAAGCGTCGCACCAAGTCACGGTGGGTCTCCGCACGATGCAACGCGGTGAGATGTTGGTACGCACTCTGGAAATCACCCACCTCCAAGGTCAACTCAAACAAGCGCAAGCTGCGCTCCGGGCTCTCCTCACCCTTTGCCTGCGCTAGGGACTCGAACTTAATGGCGGCGGTTGTGTATCCGCCCTGTCCGGCCATCTGGCTGAGCTGGTGGTAGTACTGGACCTCAGTGGTGTTGAACAAAGACAAGGAGCTGGCTCCGGTTTTGCTGAGCGCCCGTAGTGACTTTAACTCCGCGTGGGTTGGCACGTAAGCGTGGATCGCAGCATTTTGAAACACCGCCTGGAACTTTAACGCATCCCCATTCGCGTAGTAGAGCAAGCCCCGCAAAAATTGGTGTACCTTAGATGTGGTGAGATACTGGGCAAAGGTGATGGCCACTGCTGGCAACTGGCAGCTGAGCAACTCAGCCACAAGGTAGTTGACCGCACAGGGGTTGGTGATGTGGTCGAACACAAGCTTGGAGAGGCCGCTCGAGAGGTTGGCGGGGGTTAGGTCCTGCCTCGTCGCAAATCCTCTGATGAACAAGGAGTCCACAGCGCTGCTCGGGCCGGCGTTTTCCAACACGGCAGACTTTCCATCCTCAAAACAAAGCCCCATGGCCTGGGTCGCCATTTCGTACGCGAGGAAAAGGCACACCAATTTGCGGTAGTACATGCTGGTTTCCGAGTTTGTGTCCATGATGACCATTAAAATCAACATTTCAAACACGAGGCTGGAATGCAACTGGACAAACTCGCTGCACTGTTTGTATACCATCATGCTGCCCCAGGTCCCGAGCGTGTTTCTGGAAGCAGGTGTGTCATCCACGTCGGCAAGTGTAGGGTTCACCAAGAACTCAAGAACCTGGTCCAAGTTCTGAATGCCGCCGAGTCCCGCTAACACCCCCTGGATAAACTCCTGGGTAAGCTTCTCCTGGAAAACCTCCTCGTAGATCGCGTCAATCCTGGCCGCGTCGTCGGACACCGCGTCAACGGTCTCCTCGAGAAGCTTGTGGCGCAACGCCTTCAACGTCTTGGTCGATAACTTTCGTTTCAACGCCCGTAGCAACTTCATAAAGCTTACCAACGATACCTGGAAGCCGGTATCCTTAGCTCCGGCCACCAACTCGGAGTAAATCTGCAGCACGTACGCCGCCTCGAGAGACCCGTCCACGGGCCTCACGAGTGAGTAGTCGTAGCCTCGCAAGATGTAGATGCTCGACAGCGGCATCACTACCATGGCAATCAGCTCGCGTGCGAGCTTCTGGAACTGCTGGCATAGCAGATCGAACTTGATGCACTGGTTCTTTACATCCTTCTCGTAGACCCTGCTGGTGGAGAGCGCGGACGAGAGGTTGGCGTTTAAAGCCGCGCGGACGCGGCGACGCAAGGACATGTGGGGCTCCACGGCGACACCATTGTTGTAGAAGGAGGAGAACACGCTGAGTGATGTTTCGATGACCTGGGTGGAGTAGTTGCTGCGATTGAAGAACTTGTCGAGATAGAACTCAGGGTAGTTGTCGCCAACAAGCTCGGTGTCAAAGTTGAGGCAGTCCGTCTCGCCGACAAAGTGGTCGTGGTACTCGACCAAGTCGTTGGTATTAACGGTAATGTACTGGATCTTGGACGTGGTGTTTGATTTCCACAAGACCCAAAACATATGTCTGTAGTCAGACTTGATTGGAAGCGTGAATTTGTAATCCTGAACAACCCAGATGTTTGAAAACCCAGGGTTAGCAATGGAGTCCTCCGAGGTGGCAATAGAAGCGGGCAACTGGGTGGATACCTCCTTGTGGTCCATCAAGTAAACAGCTTCGTCCTCACAGCTGAGCTCTAACACGAAAAAGGCACCGTTGCCGATCTGCGGAAGCAACACAGCCACCTGCACGGTCTCTGCCTCCAAGACCTGCAACAACTGCACGGAAATGGCATGCTCGAGGTCCAAGTTTGTCCTGTGATAGGCCTTGGACAAGTAGTCGTTTATGTTCTTGACATAGCTCAAGCCCAAAGTCCGGAGATTGAAAATCTTGAGCTTCTTGTTAAGGGTCAACGTGGCAACGTGCTGGGCCCCGATCAACAAGACGTCGATAATAGCCCGCTCAGATACCGCCTGCTCCTTCTGGAACCCGAAGAGGCGTTCAACAAGCGAGGACGAACTGTCGTAAAAATTATCCACGCTGAAATCGCCCAAGAGGTTCTCTCTGGAGAAGCGGACCAACCCGCCGTCGTTAAGCGCGATCACGAGACAGGTGCTGGAAAGGGCTCGCACCAAGATCGGGAACCGGTGGTCGAACGCGTATGGCACCGAGCATTTGCCCCAGGTGTGGAATTCCTCAAGGAGCAACACGGAACCGACAACAAAGTCGTTAAGTTGGACCACCACGGTCACAAAAACACCCCCTTCAATCACCATATCGACTACGAGGCGCTCGGCATGGCTGTGGATGGCGTAGCAGCCGGCGTTGAGGAGCGGGCGCGGCAACTCGATGCGGAGGCGCTGGTGCGGCAACTGCAACGCGTTTTTGAGCGCGAGCGGCGTTAATATGAGCGAACTGAGATCGCTTGTGAGGCGATAGCTAATCGTCTGAAACATGCTGTGTTCCACGGTTGCAAACCCGCCGTGGCGTGTGAACCCGTCGTCAAACGCTTGCTGGTTGTTTGTGCTGGCGGTATGTGGCTGCTGGTACTCTAAAGGCAACCTCACCAGGCGCAACGGCAACTGATGGTCCAAGACCACTGGCGATTCCCTGAAAAGTGACATAGCAATGAGGGGTGAGGGGCAATGGGCGATGATGATATTGATATTGTTGATCTGTTTTGTGCTGCGATTTTTTTCCCTTCAGGAAAATTCGCCGTGCACGACCGGGAGGTAGCTGAGGTAGCATGTATAGCGTAACGGGGTTTAGCTAAGGAAAGATCTGGAAGTTTGGATATTTCAAAAAAGTGAAAACAACTATATTTCCCCTTTAGGGAAACTGTGAGGTGTTTGAAGGGTAAAGCCCTAGGAAAACTTTGAGCTCTGGTTGGAATATTTCGTTTATGCAGATATCCAACCATTACAGGACCATACAAGTGATGGAGAAATTTATTCAACGGTGAAATAATTGCCGATAGGCCGGGAAAACGACTGCCGATTCACTTAAATACAAGGTTGGTTAATATGGGACTACTTTTATACTTTACACTAGAAGTATTTGTATAAGTAGGCTGAAACATAGATTACAACGGATGCCCGCATTGCATGGTACTATTCTCAACCGTATATCCGGATTTCAGTCTTTATAACCACACCTAAATGACCCAGTTTCCAACAGACGATAGGATTAGCACTCTGAACCCGAGTCTGTTATACTTATTTATATCAACCACTGACTGATTATGGGATAACCTCTTCCATACCTTTTCTGTACTAATCTCTTGGTCAACAGACGGTCAATATTATAAATTGGGGTACTAATTAAGTTTATATGTTACACTCTATAAAACATCGACGCTGCTCCTAACGGCTTGGCAGTTTGACCAACAACCCACCATCTGGTTCTTTCTATCAACATCATCTCCTCGTTATCTGAAATATCTTCAAATAATATGGGTATTGTGCTTAGCACGTAAATGGCGATGGCTAGGATAATCGTTTTAGTTACAATTTTACCCACGATGAAGTTGTCGTTATGCAACCACGGAGCAGCATGACCCGCAGCGGTTTCTCCCTCCAACTGCGTAATCATTTTGTCAAGCGGTTGTCGTATCACCGTAAACGGTATTGAATAATATAGAGAAGGATTGGCTTTTTATATAGGGTATCGATACCTCCCATATAACGGGCATCGGACTTAACACCTGCTGGGCATGATTACTATCTCGGGACTTTAAGAGACAGCTTAGCTCCAACCACAAATGTCAGATTTACTCGCTTCCTCCTGTCCACCTCTCCGTGTTGGATGGGTCTATTACAATGAACTCTGCTTTATACTAGAATAAACGTGATAAGCCATCGCATTGTTCAAGTCCAAAGTTGATAGTATATATGCAGGACGCCATGCTTATACCAGCATTGTGCTTTCACTAGCCCTAAAAAAACGTTTCGTTAGTAGGGAGTTAATATCCTGCATGTAGTTCTTACTATGCCATTACCCGGTTCAAGGTTTCTGCCTCGCACTTTTTCTTAGGGTTTCATGTAACCGTCGGCGAACGATCGCCTGCGTGGAAAATTTTTCACCTATAAAAACACAATCGTATCCGCTCTGAGAGCACTTTTTTTCTCCTCACATATCAGCAACGGCATCCACCAAAATTCTACAGGGTTTCACAATCCCAGATGCCTGTTCTGATCGGAGTCCCGCGTGCTTTTGTGAAGCAGTTCTAACGAGTAAGTTTGCCTCCCACTTTTCGACTAACAAACGTGGCCTTCGAGGACGAAAGATTTTCCTGATGATCCAAATAATCCAATCAAACTAGAGTTTGTGAGTAATATGCAATGATCACAACGTTATATACAGCTGACAGAAAATCTTACTCCTCGTGACAGTCCTCCACCAGTCGATATTTGTTCCAGTGACACTGTTCTAACAGTTTTTAGAGGATCGTTGCATCTGTTCCCAAAAGACATCGCGGGCTAATGGATTTTACTGAAAGGGTATGTTTCCTCCACTCAGGCGGGGTTGAAGGCTCGTTACACAAGCAGGTTTCTAAGTGATGACTAAAACAAAAACAAAGCTGGAATTACTGGCTGAATTTTAAATGTTGATACGTTTTTGCATTTTATCTGATTCGAAATATTTTTGTGTTATAGCCTTCGAAGCCTTTACAAGCTATTGAGTACTAACAATGCTAGGTATGGTTTCCCTAGTGATATTAGCAGAGTACACCGAAAAGGGTTTCGGGTAGTTTCCTTTATTGACTTAAATGCAACTTTCAAATGACGAACCATTGCACTGGGCACTGAATATTTTATGAGTGACATGCATTTTATGAGGACTTAGAAAACCCTCGCGACTGATTTATACTTTGCATTTGAAGCAATATCTGGAACTGGCTCCCCTTGGTTGCTTCTCAATACGTGTTACCAGGTATACTAACAGTGAAACGTCAGAATAAACGCCTCCCACCAACCGATACTGTAAGGAATAAATGGTAAGTACTTCAACCAGTGCCACCTTTTTCTCAGCTTCCTGTTCCCTTTCTCCATGGTATCTTTAGTGATGAGATTCTTTAGATGACGAGTCTGATTTCGGGTTTCCCGCTGAAGACACACCTTTTTATAACCATTCATGCCTTTCTGATTTTTTAAAGATACTCTGGAGGAATCGATTTCTTGATCCCGCAACGAGTCTTACTGGCATCCAACTGTATTGCAAAATACTAATGACATCTAGCTTCCTTGCTGCTCTTGACAGTTCACGGTCATAACCATCAACTGTTGTACCCAGTCGAATAGCTGCCGGTGTTTCTTCAAAAAGGCGTCTAAGAGATGATCTCGAAATAATTGACAAGCATATGTCCGAATTTTTAATGAAGACAAGCATTTCCTGTCTGATGGATTGTTTTTTTTGCAGAAACAGGATTGGCGGGCTATTCGTTCGAACAAAAAAACAGGTGTTTTTGAACATGTTGATGGTTGTGATTGTTAACAATCAAAGTGTTGACGGAAAGGTATGCATTTTATTATGGTGTCCTTTCCCGGTTGCGAAAGCCTGCTTTTGAATGTGGAACATGTTTTTGTAAATGATGATCTCACCTCTTTCACGACGGTCTACTGCGTTGCGATCAAATGTTAACGATCGTATACTTTGATGATAATCCGGGCCTGACAGCCCGAGGTACCTGATTACAAAAACATGCATCACATTCTAAATCGGTGCTTTATCGAGACCCCTAATGGTATTCGTTCCTACATATACTAACTCCGCTGTCGTGGGCGTGATGAAATAATATGCATTTAACGAATTCTTTGAATTGTAAGTACCTCTTATCCCTACTAATTTGCAGCTTTTCCGGTCTGAACATGGCTTATAGTGATGATGTTTTTGAACAAACGTTTGACTTTAGAATGAAGAATAAAAACAAAAATTCGATTTGCATGTCAGTCTGATCATAAGACATGTGTCTTGTAATTTCTACAAGATGGGCCATTTGGGAAGTTGGAGTTTAGAATTTCAAATTTTGGTTTACTAATGCCTTTAGTCTCGATATCAGTTAATACTCCATACGCAAATTTCAATCTGTAGCGACACCCAAGTCTAGATATTTTAAACTGTATTTGCGCGTATGAGTTCAAGATGTATGCTTATATATTTCCACGCTTTAAATTACTTGCCTTTATCCGTATTTGTTCACGTTGCATTATGCACGGCATTATCTTACATAAACCTCTGGGAAAATTCCTGGCAAGATCCACATCCTGCATAAAACTCCAGCACTGGATCTTGCGTGAAGAAAAATTGTGCCGCCCAAGACAAAAACACACACATTACACCACTGTCTTTAGCGTCATATGGACCCAAGCCTCTCTGTGTACACTCATAGCCCATACAACCCACGATAATGTCCCTTTGCAAAAATAGATTACAGGAAGAAAGAAAACAATGGAGAAAGGACCATCCCTTTGGGTTCTTTGCCAAGCCAGTCAAGAGCACTGATGGCGCATTAGATTTGCAGAACTGGACCGCCGGTATTCCGGGGAAACCAAACACCTTGTGGGCCAACGCTGTGTTCCCTGTTACGATCAGTTTCCCAGACGACTATCCGGCCAAGCCGCCAAAGGTCAGGTTCCCAGCCGGTTTCTACCACCCGAACGTGTACCCATCCGGGACCGTGTGCTTGTCCATTTTGAACGAAGAAAAGGACTGGAGACCGGCCATGACCTTGAAGCAGCTTTGTCTCGGTGTCCAGGAGTTGTTAGACACGCCCAACCCAGACTCCCCGGCCCAGGAACCAGCCTGGAAGGCCTTCATGAAGGACAAGGAGACGTACGAGAAAAAGGTGAAGGAACAGTCCTTGAAGTTTGCCAAATAGGGCCAGAAGTGAATGGTGAAGGAATGGCCTACCAAATAGATGGCACGGACAAGTCTGCTAGCAGGTGCTATCGGAGCGGCCGTGTAGACTTGTTCCAGAGTGTATTGTATTAATAAAATAATTAAATGATGGAATATGTGCGGATAGGTGAATACAGTATAGGTACCTTATAGGCCTGGTTGGGTTTTTGGTACTTACCAGACCAAAGACTACTTCCTCAATATAGCCTGTTTGGTCTTTTCTATATTCAGCTTCCGATTAGATATATCATTTAGCCTTTTGCTCTCTCACTTGTTTTCCCTCGCTCGTCATCCTCTATACGATTATATTAGCCTACTTAGGCTGATGCTTATTAAGCCATCTTAGCCCTCCGAATTCGCCTCTACAAAAGTCATTTTCATTATAATTACATTACACAGGACCTTGTCTGGAACTCGTTCCTACAGACCACTAACCTCTTCCAAGAAACTGATAGAGCTTTGTCCCATCAGTTTTTGTAGTCGATGAAACGCCCCAAGTTCAAATACGCTTCCTCGGCCTTCACCTTCAACTCACCTACTCTTCTCTTGTCCAACTGCTTGTACATGTCCCTAACTTTGGTCTGGTATCCCGCCAACACCGCCAAGTACCCTCTCTCCACAAATAACCGATCCAACTCGTCCAGGTCCTGGCCGAAGACGTCATACACACCGTTCAACGCCTCCACTACAATCGGCGCCTCAACAACCGGCAACAACGCTGGGAGGTTCACGAGGTAGTCCATGACGGTAGCGGTGATGGCCATGTCTCCGGCAGCGATAGAAGAGGCTACCGATGCGAGCAAACCAACAATGCGCGCGGTCAAGTCGTTGTTCAACTGAATCGTGTCCAAGTCCAAGTTGATTGTCTGGCCCTGGCCGCCAGCAAGGGGCTCTGGACCGACTGGATTCAAGATTGACTGCGACTGTTGAATCAACAAGTTGACGGTGTCCAAGGAAATGTGGGTGGCAAGGATTTCCATCGGCAAGGTTTTGGAAATGGCCCACAAAACGTTTGTGGCATCGAGCTTGGTGGCCAACAACTTGCTTTCGCCCTCCTGTGGAGCAGCAAAGTTCAAAATGTTCTGGGCGATAAACTCCCAGATCTGCAACGTCTGCCCCACCCAGGAGATGGGAATGTCGTTGCTGACAGAGAGCCCAAACCAGCACAAGTTATTGAGAGCCATCAAGGAGCGGTTGTGGAACTCCGGGAAGTTGACCAAAAGCTCGATAAGCAATAGCGGCAACTTTTCAAAGGCCACGGTCGTCATTTCCGGGGAAAGGGTGACCGACTCTTGGACATCTAACTCGTTCAATGAGGCGTATTCTAACAAGGCAGTGACGAGTTCGAGAGCGATCCCAATGGACTCGATGTCGGTTCTGGCCTGGTTCAACTCGCGTGAGTCCTGCTCCGACACCTTGCTGTTCTTGTCTTCGATGGTCTTGCTGTTGAGCTTGGTGATCTTGGCCTGGCACTCCTTGATATCTACGGTGGTGACAATACCGGAGACCGTGTCTAAAATCTCGGCGGTGGTGCGCTGCTTTGTCTGCTGAGCCTCCTCGCTGGTGACCTCAAACTTTGACTCAAAGACGTGGAACTTGATGCACTGGATGTAGGTCTTGGATAACTTGTTCAAGTTTAAAGTCTGGTCAAACTCCATCAACTTCTGGAAGTCAAAGCTGGCTATCAACTTCTCGATGAACGCGCCCGACTGGTTGCTAAAGTTGTACAAAAAGTCCAACACCGTCGTGAACAACTTCACGCTGATGACCACCTCCTGCTTCGCGATGTTCCAGTTCAACACGCCAACCGCGAACGCCAACACGCCATCGATCCGCCCAAAGATCTGGTCAAAGAGCTCCTCGTTTGTGTTGGCCAACTCCGTCGTCAACGCCAAAAGGTTGTCTGCAAAGTCAAAAAGCAACGCCTTCTTCGACTTGTCGACCGCAGCTGGGTCTGCATGGATCGCCTCAAACGACTTTTGCGCCTTCTCAAACCCGTTCGCAAGCGTCACCCAGATGTTTGAGCGCCACAAGTGCATTGCTACCTCGTGGCCCTGCTCAAGGGTCAAGTTGCGCAACAACCCCAAGCTTTCCACGATGATCTCGTCGTTGTTGTCTGAGAGACACTGTTCCAAAATGATGTTGATAAGGCGCTCCTTCAAGAAAAGCGTGCGCAAGCGCTCGTCCTCACACAACACGGAAATGGCCTGGATCGCCATCGCACGCTCGTTGGGAGAAGTGGAAGAAAGTTTCTGGATCAACGGAAGCACCTTCGACTGGCGCGTCTGCTCGTCCTTCTGCTGCTCCTTCACGGAGGTGGTCTTGGCGATCGGGTTTGTCCGCGCCTTGTTATTTCTCTTACCCTTCTTGAGCTTGGCCATTGTGTGTTGCTGTTACTGGTAGAGTATGGTTGTGAAAAATTTGAAAAGTTTTAAAGAAATTTTACGTGCAGGAAGAAAATAGGGCTCGTAGGAAGTGCTACTTTTCCGTGCAGAACCAAGGAAGATAAAACGATATGTAGATGATTAGTAAATCGCGGATGTTTTTTTTTTTTGATGTTGAATATAAATATTCTTAGATAGTTGAAGGTATAGAGGTTACTCAAGAGCAGGTCTCAAAAGCTGTTTACAATTTCCATGATACAACAAGGCTTGAAAAGTTCTGGCCAGCCCCACTACAACAATGCTTGTGATTATAAAATCTTGCTTCTAATTCCACATTAACCACTGACATAGTTATTAATATCAACCAACACTAGTTATTAATATCGATCAACACCAACTTTTTAGCACACAAGGCAAAGACCAACCGTTCCAGGTCGCTGACCACACAGTCATTGATCTCGTTGCTCGGTAAGCTGACATCCACTTGGACCATTTTCTGCAACTTCTGGATATCATAAACGCTGACGCTTTCGACGCCCAAGACCCCGCACAACTGGTTGCCGGTAGGACGCAAATACCTTGCCGAGTCCCTGGTCGAGCTGATAATCGTTTCAACGTTGGGATAAGTCTCGCCCAACCCACCCTGGAGGTTCTTCAAATTAAAGTGCTGGATGGAGTTGCTAGTCACAACAAACACGACATCTGACTTTACAAACACGTCGTGAATGTGATCAGAGGCGTAGATGGTGTAGACGACCTTTCCGGTCTGCCAGTTGAGAATCCGCACAATGCAGCCGCCTTCGACAACCACAACCTGTTCGGAGTTTTGCGGATGGAACTTGACCACTGTCGGCCGGTGCTGCAATCTTTGGACGTACCGTTTGCGGGTGATGATGTCTGTAACAATTAAGCGATGGTCGTCGCCCACCACAGCCACCAAGCCGTCTTCATTCAAGCACAAGTCGTTTGCAAAGGTCTGGGTGATATCGAGATCAATAGTTTGGCCATTAACGTGGTCAAAGACCCCCACTGTCATGTCCAGAGCCGCGTAGACAAGAAACCGGCCGTTGAAGCGAACCTTGTGGAGCGACTTTTCGGATGGGTACGCCGTAATTTGGTAGACATGCTTCTGCTGGAACGAGGTCGGCAACGAGCGGGACAACTCCGTGGAGTCCTCAAACGGCGTCATGATCACAAAACCGGCGTCGGAGCCTACGCATACCTTACCACCGTAGCGATCGAGGCACTGGCCCGAAACGGGCAAATCGTAGGAAACAGCAAAGGCATCACCGGAGGGTTTGAGAGACTTTCGGTAAAGCAGTGGAACCCCGTACGCTCTAGAGTCGTTCAGTGTCATGATATGAATGGCGTGGGGGTGTTTTGCTTTGGGTCTGTTGTGATGAACAATTTTTAGCCATGTTGCTGCGGCTCATGAAATGCACGTAAGATTGATTCACGTGATCAACAGGGCTCCACAGAGACAGGAAATGACCGGGTAAGAGGAATAAGCGGAATGTCAACGTTTAGAAATTTAGATAGAACAATTATCATCTGGGGGGTAATTCCGATAAGGCGCCAAACCTAGGAGTAGAAAGGATTGGACCATGTGTCACTAAATCATGTGACGATGGGTCATGTGACAATGGGTCATGTGACGATGAATCATGTGACACTTAACCTCGCAGGATCCAGATTCGTATATTGGCATGGTTTCCGTCTACTTTTCACACATTTAGACCCCAAACAACAAAATGGCTAGAATCAGAGGCTTTGATCTTTTCGCCATGGCTGGTGTCATCTCCGTCGGTGTCTACACCGGTATGTACCCGTTAATTCTTCACGAACCGATATTAACAACCCAGGTGTGAAATTTTTCGGCCCGATTATCATGTAAGCACCACGAATAATCGATTCCCGCGAATACGAGCACTAACATTTATAGCGACCAGTTGGAGAAGGATGGCAACTTGAGACAGGACAAGAAGGTCCCAGAGATGATCAGAGATGCCTCGCGTGAGATGAAGGAGAACGAAGAGAAGCTCAACAGTAAGTGGAGTGAAATCAGGGCCCAGTTGGAGTTGTCCAAGGAACAAAAGGAGCAACAGAGAAAAGGTAAGCTGGAGTAAGATTTGTACATACACGCATGACTTATGGTATTAATATGTAGTTTGCCATGTAGAAAAAACGCCAAAGGTGGAGCAACAACCAAGATAACTTCAGGGTAAAAGTGCCGGTAGCCCCGGTTGACAGCTGCCATATTTTCCACGGAGTTATTGGAATAGCTATGCTTGGAGCTCGAATTTTCTCTTAGTTTCGAATATCTTAATTCTTCCCCTGACCTTACCAAAACCCTGCACGTTGTCTTGCTCATCTCTAAAGTGACAATAGTTGAGATAGGCGAAAAAACGTCTTTTTTTTCAGCTTTATTCCAGGGGTAGTAAATGTCTCGAGTACCCGTTTATGAATCATTCCCACGTAGTCAATACCTCAGACCACTGCAGTCTTCAGAAAGTCTGCCCAGAGATGGATTGGGCTTACACCTCTCAATTCTACCCTGACCGTTAGTCACGTGCTACCCCCACCAAAACTGCCAGTTTAACTCCTGCACACCTGTCTTAACCTTTGAGGGCATCTCGGTCGCACACACCTTAAGCCATTTCTCACTAATTCACGATATCCCCCGTCTCTTTCTTTTCCAGTACCTACAGTGGCAATTTTTTTGCCGAATTGATAACTGAGGACCTCGATTTCATCATTATTTCACCCTGGAAAATTGCGTTTGCCACCTGCGGCTTACCCCTACTTTAGTCAGCGAAAATTTCTTTTGGTGGCGAATTCATCAACACTTTGTTTTATCTTGCTTCCCGCCATTTGCTATATAAACCCAGTATTCACCACACGCAATTCATACAGTATAGTCCATTATTTACAATGCCCCAACTAATTGACACCCATTTGCAGCCACACACATCCCGCCCCTCGGCGTCGCACTTTACCTGCAACACGTGTGGGATCCAGTTTCCGCTTGCTGTGTTGCAGAGACAGCACATGAAGACGGACTGGCACCGCTACAACCTCAAGAGGCGAGTGGCGCAGCTCGAACCGCTTACGTCGGAGGTGTTTGCAGGCAAGGTTTTGGCGCAGAAGGCACACGAGAATCTTTTGCCGGAGGTCGAAGACGAGTACGGCTTTGTGGTACACAACAAGATCGCGTCCAGCGCCAGACAGGTGACGAAGAAGGACATGCGCAAGCAGGAGAAGATACAGAAACTGGCTAGAGGGCGAGCTGTGGCCGCCACGGTAGCCAGAGAAGCCTCCCCCGCCAGTGTGTACTCCGCCTTCAGCTTAGGCGGCTCAACCACCGGGGAGGACGATACCGGGTCTGAATTGAACTTCACAACGACCGAAGACGAGATCAGCAGTGCAGAAGAAGAGAGCGAAGAGGAGACTGCTGAAGAGGATGAGATGATTGAGATCTCAGAGTGCTTGTTCTGTGGAACGATTCACGCCTCGGTGGAAGATTCCGCCGATCACATGTTCCAAAAGCACGGACTCTATATTCCGCACAGAGACAAGCTTGTAGACTTGTCGGGTTTGATCCAGCACTTGATTGATTACATCGTGGATAACGACAACCGGTGCTTGAACTGCTCGTTCGCAGGGAGAAACTTGGAGAGTACCAGACAGCACATGCTTTCGAAGGCACACTGTCGGTTGCGGTATGAAACAAAGGAGGATAAGATGGAGGTTGAGCAGTTCTACAGGTTTGAGGCTTCGCCGCTATCTGGCCTGGATGTGGAGATGGACGACGACGTGGACTCACAGTACCAGACTGTAGAGGTGGATGCTTCCGGGGTTGAATTGGTCTTGCCCACCGGAAGCCGTATTGGTCACCGATCGATGAATCGGTACTACCGCCAGCGGATCACCGAGGTGGTTCGCAGAGAAGATGACAGCACCGTGGCTGTGGCTGACGGCAGATACAATGGGGCCGGGCTTGTGGGTCAGGTTGTCTCGAAAGAGGAGAAGCTGGCACGCTTGACCGAGCTCAAGCACCAGCAAAAAATTGAAATTGCCGTCAAGTACAAGGCCGGGAAGAAAAATAGAGGGAACTTCCAGAAGCACTTTAGAGATGAGATCTTGCAATAGTGAGAGGCTCGGGATCAAACTGGGTCTGGAGTTGTGCATTTATACGAGTTATGATCAAGCAAAATGTAACTAAAGTGTAACTAAAATGTAACTGATTGGCATGGCACGATAAATGAGAGTAGACTGTGGAATTTGTTTGGTATATTAAAGATGCCAGTTCTACAGATGTCGGTAGATGCCCTCTCACTGACATTTTGTATTCATTACCCATTGAATATACCACGAATGGGTTGAGATAATAGAAGCTAAGGGCACGTATTTTTCACTATCAAGGTGCAAGGACATAAAACCAGACTATTTAATACACCCACCTAGTTACTCTTGATTCCAAAAATAGTTATATGATGAATCTTCAAAGGTTGACATAACGTCTGATAAATCCACGGGATGTAATGTACTTGCATATGCCGGATCAATACTGATCTAATATACCGGATAAGTATTTTTCACACAACGTGCGTGGCGCTCTTTGAGGGCGGCCAGGTTATCTGGGGTAGTGGCTTCATAAGGTGTTTAGTAACAAAAAGCGGCCTACTACTCTTCAAAACTTTCACGTTTTGACGCAACTACAGATCTACACTTTTTTTTCCCCAATCTTCAACGCGTTTTCACGTCCGCCACTTCGTCTGACTTGACCATAACAGCAAAAGAGTTTACGAGAGCGCGCAGTATGGTCTCATCCCCGCGACCTTTACCGAACCAGTTGGCGGCGTTGCTGGCTTCGGAGCTCGCTCGAAGAGATATTTTTGGCCGGAACATTCTACATTTACTCGTCCTTTTTGACAAACCTGACCTCCTAAAGAACTTGCTCAAGAACCCCAACGTGACAACGGCGTTTTTGCTTTCCCTGGACGAGGAAAACCGCTGGAATGTGCTCCACTACTGTATCGCGCATGTCCGGTTGTCTGCCCTCAAGCAGGTGATAAAGAAGGCTCAAGGGACCCGAAACACGCTAGAGAGTTTGCTCTCAGCCAAGGACGGCGATGGGACAACGCCAATGGAGTTGCTAGATACCGATTGGGTCGGCTGGAAAAGCGTTCCAACGCGGATTTCCAGCTCTATCCAGCTCCAACCAAGATTCAAAAGCCCCGACGGAACTTCGATCAGACGACGCGGGAGATCCAAGCGAGAATGGTTTCGGGGAGGGACCGATTTCTTTGTATTTGGGCTGAACAAGAATAGCAATTTGGGGTTAGGCAATGCCGACGACCGGGCCGTTCCGGTTTTGGTGAACCATCAGGATTTTAAGACATCTCATGATTTGTCTAATGCGCCTCATATTTCCAGCACTTCTTCGTCTCATAGTCTATCGGCCAAGTTTAGCAGGCCCCGGTTTTCAGACGTCAAAATGTCCCAGAAGTTCAGCGTGGTGCTCACTACAGTCGGTACTGTCTTCACTGCCGGTGCCCCCTCTCGGGGGCGCCTTGGAAATGGTGACTCCCAGGTACCCCAGTTCAGCTTTGCTCCAGTGAAATTCTTCACCAAGCCCGTCTCAGCAGTTGAAATCAGCGACGACCACTGCGTGGCATTGTCTCAGGGGGAGATCTACGCCTGGGGCTCCAACTCCCATGCCCAGCTCGGCTACCTGGAGCCAAACCGATCCGAACACTCCAGTGAGCCACGGAGGGTCATTTCCGGCGACATCAAGAAAGAGGCCGGCTTTATTGGCGTGGCAGCGTCCAATGTCCATTCGGTGGCGTACACCAAAAACGCCATCTATAGCTGGGGCCTCAACTCTGGCCAGATGGGTATCCCGCTTGAATATACACAGAAACACAGAGCCATACAGGGACCTAAGCGGATGGACTTCAAGTATGGTGAGATTAAGAGTGTGGTTGTGACTCCTGATCTGATGCTTGTGCTCACCCCTTTCGATGTCCATCTCTACTCCCACTTTTCCCACCAGCGGCTCGCTATTCCCTGCGCCACAAACATCGACAAAACCTTTCATATCTTCAAGCCCGGAAGATTGACTGCACGGCGGGAAATTGCCAAAATTGCCGCCCACTCTAGCCACGTGTATGTACTCTTTTCCGACGGGGATATCCTTTCGTTTAACATGGTCAAGACACGCTTCCACACCGTGTGGAAGAGCAAAAACGACCATCGGAGAGTGGTGGATATGGCGTGCTCAGGCGACGGTGGCCTTATCTTATGCACCCAGGACGGGGCTACGTGGCTCCGCCATCCACAACTGACCAAGTTTACCAAGCTTGCCGTGGTTAACAACGTTGTACGGGTGTTCTGCGACCCTCAGTTTGTCAGCTTTGGCTGTCTCAGAGAAGATTGGGGCGTTTTACCGGTGGAAGTCTCCCAAAGCGACTTTTCAAACGACTTTAGCTACCTCTCTCCATTACATGGATTCGACCCGGAGCGGATCTTGACCCGCGGTCCCGTAACGGATACCTACACCGATTTTGTGGGTGAAGCCAATGGTGCTGAAGTGGAAGATCAGTTGTACGCGATGAGAGGCCCGAAGCAACGACCGGAGAAGACTTTCCGCAAGGTGGACGAAGGTGCCAGAGAGGCTTTGCTTTCGGATGAAGCTTATTTGCGGTGGTTCTACCAGTCAAGCGGCTTTTCTGCTAAGGGCTATGACTGCTGGTTTGCCATAGATGGAGTCCGGGTAGGAGTTCACAGGTGGGTAATGGAGGCAAGGGTCCCAAACATTGTTGAGTTGGAGGCTGTGGGATACGATCCAGCAACCAGAACTTTTAACTTGGGAACCGTGAAATTACTCAGTTTGCTTGTGTTGATCCATTTCATCTATACCGACCAAATTTTGGCCGTGTGGGACGACTTGGAAAGGAATGGCGTTAAGGCAGAGTTTTATCGTATAGCAGAGAGGTTTGGGCTTGTCGATAGAGTGGGAAGGGTTCGGCTGGAGCTTTCGTTCCCTCAGGCTATACAGCGTCTTATGGAAAGGTCCATGGGCGAGTCTACCGAATCAGAATTTCCGGAAGGGCCTAATGCAGGGCCAGATACATTTTCAGCCCTCTCAGAGCCTCGGGGATCAAAAGCTGTGGTGAAGATTCTCTTGCTGGATGGCCATCGAGCCTGTTTTGCCCCGCTTCTCGCCGCCCGCTGCCTCTACTTTGAAACATTACTCAATCGATGGAGTAGCCGTGACATTCTGCTCAGCCACATTTCTACCCAGCAATTCGACGTGATCTTGAGACACATCCACGGCCACGACCCGTTCACGCTCTTCGACCACTTGGCCCCCCAGTTCAGCGGTTCCCACGACTGCATCAACTTCTTATTGGAGTTGACTGACGTTGCCGACGAGTTAATGCTTGGCGAGTTGAAGGATATTTGCCAGCTCACAGTGAAGGATTACATAACCTTGGAAAACGTGACCCTTGTGTTCAAGTACAGCGTGGATTTACAAGCGGAGAAGCTCATGTTGGAGTGTCTCTGGTACATTTACAACAACGCGGAGGTTTTGATTATGGACGACCACTTCCTCCTGGAGTTGAATGGAGAGCTTCTTGGACTTGTGGAGCGGAGCATAGGCCAGCTCAGGCGGGGCCTTGCCAACGGAGAGGCCTATAGCATCGACTTGCTGGTTAAACCAGGGGTAGACGATGGGTTGATCCAGAACTTTCTCACCGATATCCGAGCGTTCAATCTCCACTACATCACAAACGACCACAACTACAGCTTTGTGCCGGTGGCTGCTGTGAGTGTCGTTACCAAGGGCGCCAGCAAGCCCAAAAACCGCCGTCGAAGCTCCAACAGGGGGTCGGTTTCCATGCCCGTCAAGCCGGTAGTGGTGAGAAAGCCGTCCGTTAGCCAACCGGATCACTTTTCTCCCACCTTTGAAGATGACGTCCCTACGGAATCTCGTCGCGATTCGATGAGAAAGTCCGTATCTCCTCCGTTGGGCGCCTCCTTTGCTTCTGTGAAAAGCCCGCCTGGGATCAACGGACAGGTGTGGGGGTACACCCCAGAGACCTCTGTAAATATCCCCTCTGGTACCAGCGAAAAAGCATGGGGAAGGGTACCGGCTCCAGAGTGGCCGCCCGTCCTTGGGGCTCTCCCCACCCCTACCCCATCCCCAGTGCCGATCAAACCAAAGGCTAGTTCCACCCCCCGGTTGTCGCAAAAGGAAAGGTTGAAGAATAAGAAGAATGTCAGTGAGGTTACTCCAGAGCTAATTCCCGCGACTAATCCATGGTCGAGAAAGCCGAGCTCCACCTCTGTGACCCCCTCACCTGTTACCACCCCCAGAGGAGCCTCACCTGTTCTCAGAAAAGCTTCCTGGGGCCCTTCTTCGAGCCTGAGCTCCAATCAGAACTTCCCGTCACTTGCATCTCCAGCCGGTACCCTGACTCCGTCGTTGACGGAGATTATCTTGCAAGAGCAGGACAAGGTTGAGCGGCTTCAGCAGAAACCCACAAAGACGTTGGCGGAGATCCAGGAGGAAGAAGCGTTCAACCGGTGGTTCGAGGAGGAGAGCAGACGCGTTCAGCAGGAATTAGATGCCGTGAATCAGCTCGTGACAGGGCCTGACAAGAATAGGAAGCCAAAGAAGAAGGCGATTAAGGCTAATGGGAAAACGAGGAGGGTCTCGAGCCTGTGAGAAAAAGGTTAAATAAACCCCATTGTTATAGAAGTACGGTCTTGTATTATATAGTTGAGAGCCATCGCGGTGTATATATACTCTGTGCGTTAGAAGGGGTGCTTTGAAAGGTGAATTGGTTCAAAGTCCATCGGCATAGTTCTGGTAACAATGCATGAGCCCACTTCCTATGGTCTTAATACCTTGGAATAGATCCAAGAAATTTATTCCGTGGTGCTACTTGGACTACAAAGGTACATAGACTCGAGGGTACGATATACCTAATAGGTAATAGTGGATACTGTTAGCTAGCTAAAGGAGAATACGTTTCATCTGTAAGATATATACAAGAGAAGGGTAGTCGGTGGCCTCATATATTGAGGCGGATACGGTGCCAGGGTGCCTACTTATTGGAGGTAAGGAGGCCATGAACGTCGACTTCCGTCTAGTTAAATGGTACTTTTACTACAGAGGGTATGCCGGTTCTTGAATAAGAAACGAAGGGTTTCGTTATCACCTAGATTTGCCAACCTTGTCCAAAAATCGATATACAATTGCTAACGGCTAAAATCGCCAGCCTATAGTGCCAGCAAAAACTAATCTTTGGTGTCGTATTCTGAGCCGTCCATGAATAATTTCCAAATTCTACTCTAGACCCTTCTATAGTACCCTCAAATAGAAATGCATGAGGGGGCTTTCGTGTTCCCTCCTAATTAGCTGGGTATCATTTTCCAAAAGCCAATTTTATTCTAACCCGGGTATAACCAGCATTGTGATAATGCTACGGTACGATGCACATGCTAAAGTTAATCACCCATGTCCGGTGAAGTGAAATTTAATGGCAGCCTCCCTTAAAGCCTGCAGCCCAACGCGTAAAGTTTGTCGTTTAACAATTTTCTCGTTCGGGTACTAAATGCAGGCTGAAATTATCTTCCGATTAGCCTGAACACGTTGTAAACTTAAACCCAACAAAAACCTATCCTCTGCACGCAGGTGCAGCAAGTAAACGAAATTTTTTTTACTCGCCTTCCTATCTGTCGTTCAGGGAACTTAGAAACCGGAATAAATATACATCTTGTAATCTACCTATGAAAAAAGAGTAAATAATAATGCGGCTCACAGGTCTGCTATGACACCAGGGAAAAACATCCTACCTTTAGACGTACTATTTGGGTTTAGACGTAAAGTTAGGGAGATAACTCCCCTGTTAATTTATTATCACTTAATTAAATGAATGCTCTAGAAAGGTAAATAATGACAGGGCTCCTGACAACGGCACCACTCAGCTATATTTTCGAATTCACTCCTTCCAGCCCAAAGTTTCTGGATTTATTATATTTAGTCGGCTGTATCGTATACGAGCTCAAAGCTAGTCTGAGATTGCAGCGGTGCTATGTCACTGATAAGGTATTTTGGTCTGAAGGTCGATTCCTAGGTTCATTCCTCTGCCTAGATGCTAGCCAGTACCCGAGTCAGGTGGTAGTACCAGGCTGGCCTCAAGCTACAACCTGCGTAACACCACCAAAACCTGGACTAGCCTCGCTACAGTCCCTTGCTATAATTCAGACCCAGGCGTTATTGGCAGGCGTCCAAAAAAATAATTAACCCTGGCATTTATAGAGCATGTAGCTACGTATGCTGTACCTCTGGGTAGTACTAGCTCGGCGCTACCCCAACAAAAGTAGGTACGCAGAATTAGCTCCTGTGGCAGAATCACCGCCGCGTCACCCAGTTAGATCGCCCTTCTATGTACACACGTCATCCTTTCTCTATCGCTAAAAGGTACTGCGTTTACAAGCCATTGTGTGGCATATTGGCGATTCCGGACAAACAATCGGCATAACTCCCAATGTTTTGGCATTCCCGGACCAATTGCGCGGATCACCTCCCCGTTTCTTTTTTATGTATTTTTTTTTTTCATGCAGCTCTATTTTGGAGACCCGTTGGCCAAACTTTTACACCAAACCCTATTTTTTTCTTTTTCCTTATATATATATATAAGCCCACGTTTCGCAAAACAAAGATCTCTGCAGAGACCAGCAAAACGAGCCGTAGCAAAACTCTCCTTTTCTCATTATGTCTTCTCAAGTCAAAACCAGTGGCTCGTCCATCGGCGATTCCGCCACCATCACCAGAAAGGGCAATGTCTCCGGCTTTTCCAAACCAAAGGAAAACAGCGCTATCGATGCCTTTGGCAAGACATTCAATGCGCCAATGTACACCATCAAGGACATTTTGTCCGCGATCCCGGCACACAGTTACGAGAGACGTCTCACCACCTCTTTCTACTATGTATTCCGTGACATTGCTATGATGGCCACTATGGGTTATGTCGCCAACACCTACATTGCGGTTTTGCCATTCGCTGCGTTGAGATTTGCGGCCTGGTTTGCCTACGTGTTTGTCCAGGGGTTGATTGGGACCGGGGTCTGGGTTTTGGCCCATGAGTGTGGCCACCAGGCCTTCTCCGATTACGGCTTGGTCAATGACACCGTTGGTTGGATCTTGCACTCATACCTTATGGTGCCATACTTCTCCTGGAAGTACTCCCACGGGAAACACCACAAGGCTACCGGCCACTTGACCAGAGATATGGTGTTTGTTCCATACACCAAGGAGCAGTACCTCAAGAAGCACAACGTGACCTCCGCCATGGACTTGGTCGAGGAAGCCCCAGCCGTTGCCTTGTGGAGTCTCTTCTTGCAGCAGTTCGGTGGCTGGTGGGCGCACCTTTTGTCCAACGTCTCCGGTCAGCCGTTCCCAGACACCCCGGCCTACGCCAAGTCGCACTTCTGGCCATCCTCTAAGATCTTCGACAAGCGTGATTACTGGTTCATTGTCTTGAGTGATGTTGGTATCGCCTCTATGCTTTTTGTCCTCTACAAGTGGTATCAGAACTTTGGGCTTTTCAACGTTGCCGTCAACTGGTTCCTCCCATACTTGTGGGTCAACCACTGGTTGGTTTTCATTACCTACTTGCAGCACTCTGACCCTAAGATGCCTCACTACGAGGCCGAGCAGTGGAACTTTGCTCGTGGTGCCGCTGCCACCATCGACCGTGAGTTTGGTTTTATCGGTAAGCACCTCTTCCACGACATCATCGAGACCCACGTCTTGCACCACTACGTGTCAAGAATTCCGTTCTACAACGCCAGAGAAGCGACCGTTGAGATCAAGAAGGTCATGGGTGAGCACTACATGTACTCTGACGAGAACATGTTTGTCGCGTTGTGGAACTCTAAGAGATGGTGCCAGTTTGTGGAGGGTGACAATGGGATTATGATGTTTAGAAACTCCAACGGGTTGGGTGTTGCTCCGAAATAGGCCTGCAGAGACTCGAGATGGCCGAAATGGGCCATCAAATACCCGCGGGGGAGGGGCCGAAACTGGACCACCCCTCTGCAAGCTTGCATAGACCTGGATGCATCCAGAAAGTTTTATACATAAGCCAGTACAAAATTTGATACAGAAGTAGATTCTGACAGCCCACCTGGTCGACGTCCGATGGAAGGGAAAGACAGATAGCTAGGTTTATATGCACCCGTCCAAGGACGGAACAATACAAGGAATTTGACAGGTTAACCTCCGAAAGACAGTGATACAAGACTCCTTGGCTTTACCGAAGAGTGTATAACGTTACAACTTGGAGCCAGAGCCTGGCCCCACATGTGTAGACATGACCCGATAGCTTAGACCCGTACGTTTTTGTTTTTTTTTGGCTAAAAGATATAACGTAGGGTCGAAATGGCACAGTTTAAGCTTCTACAGCTAAGCTGTCGACGGAACCTTGACAGAAATCTGTATCGCTCCCATCATTTTTAATATACACGGAGAATCGGTGGAATTTATTGCTTTAGTCACATAGGGGTGACCCCCGGGTTTGGTGGGTTTCATCCCCTCTATTCACACCCAATCCCATATTGATGCATATTAAAAACGCTACCTATCCTACTGCTGCGTGCACTGATCGGTCTGCTCTTGTAAGCTCTTCTTCAAGTCCTCTGGCAAGTCGTCCATGTTGAAGTCGTCGTCCTCTCCCAAACCAGGCGCACCCTCGGCACCACCGCCAAACAAGCCGCCCAATTGGTCCATATCACCGACTAGCTCCGCTGGCGGGTCGCCCGACTTTTGCAAAAGCTCCAATTGTTCGCTGATTTCGTTACGCATAAACGTGTTGGAGTCGTCGTATTCCGGCGACTCAAACTTCAGCACGATGATCTTCACGATCAGAAACTGGTCATCGTACTTGGTATACTCGTCCGCCTTCAAGCTGGCCTTGTTTTCAGCCAACCAGGCTGGGTATTTGTCGTTCAAGTCCTTCATTGGCTCGTACAACACAGCTTTCGACGATAATTGCTCCATCATTTCGCTTAACAACGCCGCAAGACCCTCCTCATCGCCCCCGGCGCCTCCCAAGCCGCTCAAAAGTGACATGAGCATCTCCTCCTCAGAGCCCTTTTTTTGCGCCTGCTCCGACTTTAACTGCTCGTCGATGTTCACCCCAGAGGTTTTGACTCGCAGCAACGTCTCCGCCATGATGGACTTGAAGTCCTGTGGTCCAGCCCCGGCCTCGCCGCCAAACTGGCTGAGTAAACTCTCCAACTGCGCCTTCGACTCGGGGTCCTCGAGTCCCATCTCCTTCAAGACGTCGTTAATTTGGGAAAGATCATCCGCGGTAGGTGTGGCATTTTCATCTACTGCCGCGGAGCCTGGTGGTTTGCTCAAAATTTCGTCCTGGAACTCGTCCAACAAGTCGTCAAAGTCATCGTCTTCCGTAGTTGCCACGGCCGCTACCGCTGGTTCGGCTGTTTCCACTGGTTTTACTGGGGCTTCTGAGGTCTTTAAATCAGACATTATCTGTTGGATTTGCGAATGGATAGAGTGTGTAAGGAGAAGAGATGCCACTTCCCCAGAAGTACACGCAGACACCCGAGGAGTTACCGAGCCGATCAGATGCGTTTTTACGCAGCGGTGCGGGGACGACCCCGGAGTTCGAACGGGTAGCCAGAAAACTGCAAAATTTATAGCGGCTTTAATAACAGACACTAAACTGCCAGTGATTATGGTCGAAACAGTCTGGTACAATTTATAGATAAAAAGGATGTTTCTTGTATGGCACTGGCAGCAAAGGCGCTAATTTTAGGGTAGGGTAACGGACGTGGGGGCTCGGGGTGAATTTCGCGGATTTTCAAGCCGAAAAGTTCACAACCGGAGTCCAAGGTATAACTAGATAATATCTGGATGGGAACTATCAAAAATCGCATAAATGGAAGCTAGGCGGTAGCTAGTAGTTGAAAGAACGAATGAGATACCCCAATACACAGGCATTTGGACGAGATTCAGAAATGTAAGAGAGGTATGGTAGTCTGGGAATGGTAAAGTGAAAATACGTCGGATTTTGTCAGGGTTCCAGCGCCTGTTGGTATTCCAGTCGGGGGGTTGTAATCAGTCATTGATTCACAAGTTACTTAT